TAACCCAAAACCACGCCGTGACAGCCAACGAGTTTCTCGACGACGCCGACCAGGAGTTTGCTGCCGGCGACCATCTGCAGGCGTCCGAGAAGTTGTGGGGCGCGGCTACCCACGCCGTGATGGCCGTCGCCCAGCAGCGGGAGTGGCCGCACGGCAGTCACCGCTCGTTGAAAAACGCCGTGGGTATGTTGACCGCAGAAACCGGCGATGACGGGATCGCCGGCGGATTTATCGCCGCCGAAAAGTTCCACAAGAACTTCTATCACGACGAGATGGAAGACTTTGAGATCGAACACGACCGGCCGCTGGTGCACCGGTTCGTCGCCCGAGTCCTGACACTGCTCAACAATTAGGGTGGTCCAAAACCACGAGCAGCGACCCCGTCTAACGGGATCCGACCTGGCCCGCTCGCGTACCCTTATCCGTCACCCCTGGTGTCGACGCCAACGGCTAGACAACTCTTGTAGCGTGCGGCAACGTCTGATCGGTCGTGCAACTATCCGCCCAGCCGCGCCCGCATGCTGTCCGGCACCTGGCGGATGCGGCGGCTGAAGGCGGTGTCCCAGCGCATGGGGACCTGCCGCGCCGCCTCCGCGACCAATGCCGCGCCGTTCAGGTAGTCTTCGCGGTGGATGTACTCGGCCGCGATGGAGCCGTCGTCGGCGCCGTTGTGGTAGTTGCCCAGCGGAAAGGCCACGCCGGTGGAGCGGTAGCCGTAGGCCATGAACGCGCTGGCCTCGCAGACGCCGCCGCTCATCAGCTGACGCTGGCAGCGGAATCGGACTGTCCTGCCATCAGCGTCTCCCGCGCGCGGATCAGCGCGGACTCGGCGTCGGCGTTGAAGGTGCTGCCAGCGTCGCCCACGCGGATCACCGGCCCGCCGCCAATCACGGCTCCCGGCAGCGTCCGCGACGACTCCAGGGACACCACCAGCGTGTCCTCCGGCAGCGTGCGCGCCTCGGCCAGCAACCGCGCGCCCACCAGGCCGACCTCCTCGGCGCGGGTGAACACGCCGTACACGTCGCCAGCCGCCGGCTCGTCGTGCAGCGCCGACAGGGTCGCCAGGATGCAGCCGCAGCCGGCCAGATCGTCGGCGGCGCGCATCACCAGGCGGTCGTCTTCGACGCTGAAGTCAGGCAGGTCGAAGACGGCCGGCGATGGGATGGGAACGTCCTCGTCGGTGGAGCCGGTCAGCCGTATTTGCGCCTGTCGTTCCCGCTCCTCGCCGTGAGGGCCGACGGTCTCGGCGGTGATGCGCCGTCCGCCCGGCAGCACGATGTGCAGGGGCACGCCGGGCGCGAAGGCGCCTTGCGGCACGCCGCCCAAAGCCTTGCCGATCAGATAGTCGCCATCCCGACCCACGATCTCGAAGCCGGGATGGTCCATGTGCGCCATCAGGGCGATGGGTGGGTGCGCCTCCGCATCCGTGCCGGCGATGCGCGCGATGATGTTGCCGAAGTTGTCCGTCCGCCACGACACGCCGATCTCGGTCAGCGCGTCCCGCACGGCCGTGGCGACGCCCTGCTCGTGAAAGGCCACCGCCGGCTGCGCCCCCAAACGGGCCAGGAACTCCAGCGCGCGGGTGTTGTAGTCATCACGCGTGTTGTAATCATCAAGAGTGGTGGCGCTCAAGTCAGTCACCTCTGCCAGTGAAACAGGCTCCATACCGGAGCAGTGAAGTCAGGGAGCAAATCCCCGCCATCGATGGTGTCGTCCTCGCCCAGTTCCGTTGGACCGGCGCCGGTCCGATACACGGCCACGGTGGTGGTCTCCGGATCGGCCACCCAGACCTGCCGAGTGCCGAAGCTGAGCCACATCTCCGCCTTGCGGCGCATCTCAACGTGGGAATTGCTCGGCGATTTCACCTCGACCGCCAGGTCGGGGGCCAGGTTGGGGTAGCCGGTGGTTCCTTCAGGTATCCTGCCGGCGGAGATCCAGGCCACGTCGGGGGCGCGCACTGTATCGGGGCCAATTTCCAGCAGGTAGCCAGGTTCGCCGGTATGCACCTCTCCAAGGTCTCTAGCGAGCACGAACGAGCCCAACACAATGGCAATGAGGGTTACGACGACAGCATGGGGGCGTCCTGTAGGCACTTTTTCTACCAATACTCCTCGAATCAGATCGTACCGCAGGCCATCCCCACGTGGCATGGCGAGCAGTTCGTCGGCGGTCATAAGCTTGCGTGCGGTGGTCATGTCGCTCTCTCCACCCAGCGTCGGGCTGGCTTCATTCTGCCATCGTGAGAGGGCTTAGGCAAACCGGCGCCGCCCGTCGGTGCTATACTGCCGCACGTATATTTTGACCCTGCAAATCCGCCTTCGGGGCGGACCGGAGGTGCGCTGTGCTGCCCAAGTTTCGTGTCAATCTGGATGAGGCCACGATGGTTCCCGGGGAAGACCTGAAGTCCACCGTCGCCGCCGTGTTCGAGAAGATGGGCGTGCCGCCCGAGGACGCGCAGCTTGGGGCCGATGTGCTGGTCGTCGCCGACCTGCGCGGCGTCGACTCCCATGGCGTTTCCAACATGCTGCGCAGCTACGTCAACGGCTACACCAGCGGCCAGATCAACCCGAATCCCGACATGCGGATCGTCCGCGAGACCCCCGGCACCGCCAGCATCGACTCCGACCGCGGCCTGGGCATCATCACCACGCCCAAGGCAATGGACATCGCCATCCGCAAGGCCGCCGATGTGGGCGTGGGAATGGTCACCCTGGGCAACGCGCGGCACCTGGGCATGGCGTCATACCACGCCATGAGGGCCCTGGAGCACGACATGATCGGCGTCTGCATGACCAGCTGCCCGCCGTCGGTGGTGCCCACCTTCGGCGCCGAGCCTCGCCTGGGCACCAACCCCATCGCCATCGCCGTGCCGTCGCGCAACGAGGCGCCCTTCGTGTTCGACGCCGCCACCAGCACCGTGGCCGGCAACAAGGTGGGCATCGCCCGACGCCTGGGCGTCAAGCTGGAGCCGGGCTGGCTGGCCGACGCCGAGGGCACCCCCATTATGGAGGAGACCGACGCGCCCGATAACTACACCCTGCTGACCCTGGGCAGCACCCGCGAGCTGGGCTCGCACAAGGGCTACGGCCTGTCGTGCATGGTGGACATCCTGGCCGGCGTGCTCACCGGCTTCGGCTACGGCGCATTCCCCGGCCGGCCCAACTTCGGACACTATGTCGCCGCCTACAACGTGGCCGGCTTCGACGACCCCGACCACTTCAAGGACCAGATGGACGAGTGGCTGCAGATGATGAAGTCCACCCGCCCGGCTCCCGGCGAGGAGCGGGTCATGGTCGCCGGCCAGCCCGAGGCCGAGATGGAGGAACTCCGCCGCGTTGAGGGCATTCCCCTGCACCAGGAGGTGGTGGACTGGTTCCACGACACCTGCGGCGAGCTGGGGATAGACTGCCCATTTTAAGTGAGCATGTCCTTCCTGCATGAGCATGTCCTTCTGAATGAACACGTTCGTCACGGCAAACTCCCAACGAGGGTCACCGTTTGCGAAGACTCGCATCAAGCCAACGAACGGCTCCGCCGATTGGAAGACGAGCTGACGGATGAGTTGGACCGTTCTTTGAAAGCCGGCAAACCCGTTCGCATCGCACCCACGCCATGACCACCCAACTCAACGTGAACCTGCACACCGCGCCGGCCGATGCCGGTGACGGGTCGATTCTGCCCAACCTCCTGATGTTCGGCGAGGTGCTCCGCCGGCTGGGCCTGGACGTCGGTTCCGCAAACATGTTGGACCTGGTGCGGGCCACCGAGTTTGTGCCCATCGGCGGGAACCGGAATGACTTCCGGCTGGCGGCGCGCGCGCTGTTGGTGCACCGGCGCAGCGACCTGGAGCTGTTCGACGAGGCGTTCCAGGTGTTCTGGAGACGGCCGGCCCACGGGCGCAGCATGAGAGACCTGCGCTCCATGGGCGAGGAGCGACGCTACCGCACCCCGCGCGTGATGCCGCACCGGGAGGATACATCCGACGGACCGCCCGGCGGGGACGACTCCGATGACGCCGGCGAGCGGCAGCCGGTGGTCGACCTGCAACGCTCGTTCAGCGCCCGGGAGGTGCTGCGACAACGGGATTTCGCCGATTACACGCCGGCCGAGGTGACGGCGGCGCGGTCCCTGATGACAGAGTTGGAGTGGGATCTGGGCCGCCGGCGCACCCGCCGGTCGACCTGGGGCGACGGGCGTGACGTGGACCTGCGTCGGACGATGCGCCGGAGCCTGTCCTACGGCGGCGAGATGCTGGACATCGCCCATCGAAAGCGCAAGACCAAGCCGCGCCCCCTGGTCCTGATCTGCGACGTGAGCGGCTCCATGGAGCGTTACACCCGTATGCTGCTGCACTTCGTGCACACGGTTGCCGTCAGCGGGCAGCAGCTGGAGGCATTCCTGTTCGCCACGCGGTTGACCCGCATCACCCGCCACCTGGAGCATCGCGGGGTTGACCGTGCGGTGTCCGAGGTGGCGCGGGCGGTGCCCGACTGGGCCGGCGGCACCCGCATCGGCGACGCGATCAAGGCGTTCAACTACCGTTGGGCGCGGCGAGTCCTGCGCGGCGGAGCGGTCGTCCTGGTGATATCCGACGGGTGGGACCGGGGCGAGCCGGAGCTGCTGTCCCGAGAGATGGCGCGGCTGCAGCGCAGTTGCCATCGCCTGATCTGGCTGAACCCGCTGCTGGGTTCACCGGGTTACGAACCCTTGACGCGGGGGATGCAGGCGGCGCTGCCGTACATCGATGACTTTCTGCCGGCGCACAACCTGCACAGCCTGCAGGAACTGGCGACGCACCTCAACCGGCTCACGGCGCGGCGGGCGCCCCCATCACCACGGCGACGGCCGGTCTCCGTTGCTAACGGTGAGACCATGTCGGAAGGCAACGGACCCTCCGACGGCGGTACTGCGGCCCGGTCGCGTCGGGAACTCAACCCGGCGTTGGCGCCGACCTTCCGGCATCCCCTGTGGGGTCACCCGAATGTACCGGGCGGCGGCGGTTAGCCGGCCTGGCCCGGCGCGATATCGCCATATAGGCCGGCCAGGGTGGTGGCCAGCGCGTGGGGACGCTCCTCGAACTCGGAAGTGGGGTACCACTCGTAGTCGAAGCTGCGCACGATATTGCCCTCGATGCTGGTGCGCAGGCCGGATACGATGACGCGGAAGCCCAGGGCGTGCGAGGCCTGCTCGGCCAGTTGCTCCAGCACAATGTTGGGGCAATCGAAGATCACCATGAAGCCGCCCTGCCGTTCCCCGTCGGTCACGCGGGCGCGGAAGACATTGCCGAACAGGTCGATGTCCACGATGGTGTAACGGCGTTCTTCGGCGCCGTGGTCGGGCCACCCGATGTAGATGTCGCCGCCGACGTTCCAGTGGTGCATGGAGAAGGCTCCAGGTTACGGGTGCGGGCAATCGTATCTGGAGCAGGAAACGGACGCAAGGGAGACGCGGCCGTCGGCTGCTTCGGGGTCTGTTGTTATTCAACGGACCGGGTGTTTGCGACGGGCGAGACATCCGACGGCGCGGCCTCACCGTATGCGTTGTCGTGCGGATCCTCTGGATCGCCGCTGTCGCCGCGCAGGGGGGCGGTTTCGGAGGACTGAAAACCTCTGGAACTGTTGGTGCATCACGGCACGCGCTTCCCACAACGTGTGTTAAAATGCTGGATCGAATGACGGAAATAATGAGAACATTGCGCAGAGTGTTGACCAGTTGGTACTTCGCCGCTCCCGCGGCCGTGATCCTCGGCCTGGTGATCGGCGCGGTGATATTTTTCTTCGCGGCTCCCGGCAAGCCGGCCGTCGGCGTGATCAACATTCCCTTCACCGTGATCGAGGATAACTCCGCGTTCGTCATCGGGCAGCACCTCGACTACGCCCTGGAAGACGACTCGATAAAAGCGGTGGTGATCGCGCTTTCGAGCCCGGGCGGCGGCGCGGCGTCCAGTGAACGCCTGTATATCCATACCCGCCGGCTTCGCGAGGAAAAACCGGTGGTCATCGTGATGCACGGGATGGTTGCCAGCGGCGGTTTCATGATGGCCATGGGAGGCAACTATAGCTATGCCCTGCCCTCGTCGTTGGTCGGCAACGTCGGTGTGGTCGGATTGTCTGGTGGCACGATCCCGCCGATCTTTCCGGAAATCATTACTACGACCGGTCCTAACAAGCTGACCGGCGGCTCGAGACAGCACTGGGTCGAATTGATCGACCGGTTGAAGGATCGGTTCGCGCAGACCGTGATCCAGGAGCGCGGCGATCGCCTCAGGATGAGTGAGGAAGAGTTGCTCCAGGGGAACCTCTACGCCGGAGCGGAAGCGGTGGCGTTGGGCTTGGTCGACGGAATCGGCGTAACCGGCGACGGAGTTGAAAAAGCGGCGGAACTGGCCGGCATCGGAAGATACGATATCGTCAACGTGAACGCGGCGGTTTTCGAGAAGTTCGGTTGGCGCGCGCAACTCTCGTACGTACCGCAGCCGGGAACCGACGCGGACGACGCCGACCCGGACGAATCGAATGGCGCCGCCGGGTCCACATCGAGCCGCGACAGTGAAACGCCCGAAGATCAGTACCGGCCACCCTTGACCGGGGCCCTGGGTCAGGAACAGGTGAACCCCCTTCCCGACTTCCCCATCGAGATCGGGCAACCCAACCTCTATTACGTGTATACCGGCTATGGTCACTAAACTCGCGGGGACGCTGATCCTATTGGTGGTCTTTATCGGCGTCGCTTTCGCGGCCGCGTACCTGGTTTTTTATCGGGGTGGCTACGCGGGGCCGCCACCGGTGGAACTGGATTACCTGGCTCCGGGCGCAGCGACCGCGAGCAGCGGGACGGAGTGGACACCGTCCGTAGCGGAACGACCCGGCGGCTTGTTGCTGGTGGACACGCTGCACAGCAACGGTTTCTCGTCGCGGGAGATCCTGACGCTGCGTACCCGGGTGGTCGCCCAGGGTTACGACCTGGAATTGCTCGGCAACTTCTCGCGGGCGACGGAACCGGACCGCCGGGCACAATTCGCCGAAAGGTTGCGCGAGGCGGACAGCCTGGTGGTCATCACGCCGTTGATTGCGTACTCCGCCGGCGAGGTTGACCTGATAGAAGAGTTTGTGCGCAAGGGTGGGAAGCTGGTGCTGGTTTCCGACCCCGGCCGACGGGACCAGATGAACACGCTGGCCCAGCGGTTCGGCGTGCAATTCCGGCCGGACTACCTGTACAACCAGGTCGAGAATAACCGCAATTTCCAAAACATATTCGTCAGGGATTTCCAGCCTGACGAACTGACCGCCGGGCTGGACACTGTCGTCCTGTATACCGCCGGGTCGATAACCACTTCCGGACCCGGGCTCGCGGTGGCGGATGACCGCACCGAGTCATCGTTGGCCGAAAATAACGGGGACCTTTACGTGATGGCGCGGGCGGCCGACCGCAACGTGCTGGCGATTTCCGATTTCACCTTGATGATACCGCCGCATGATTCCACGCTCGACAATGGCCAGTTGCTGTCGAACATAATCGACTTTGCAACCACCAGCGACCGCGTTTTCGATCTGGCCGACTTCCCGCACTTTTACCCGGCCGGACCCGATCCCGGCGTCCAGATCCTCCTCGGCCGGCCCGAGTTGCTGGGCAGCGGTGCGGAGCTGAAATCGGGGTTGGAAGATTACGGCATTGCCGCGGACATCCGGGGAACCGAAGACGTGAGCCGGGACACGGTATTCCTGGGGCTGCATGAAGACGCCTTGCAGGTGCGGCAATACCTCCAGGCTGCGGGCGTCCGTGTCGACGATACGCTGGGGATGCCATTCGGCCTGGAGCTGGACCCAACCGGCACGGCGGTTACCGTTCTGGACCGCGAGGGGGATCGGCACGTGTTGATACTGCTGGCCGATACGCCGGCCGTTCTGGACAAAGCGGTCGCGCGTCTTTTGGACGGCGGGTTCAGGTCAGACCTGGTCAGCGAAGTAACTGGAGTAAGCATTTCAGCGGGAGCGAGTAAGTAGTTCATGAAAACAAGTTGCAAACGGCTCATCCTGCTCGTTCCGGCGTTGGCATTGCTCACGATGATCGCCTGTACCGCACCCGCGGCCCAGGAACCCGAGGCATCCCCTCCGAGCGCCTCTCCGGAGACAATGGCTACCCGGGCGCCCGCGATGGAGCCTCCCCCGCTCGGCGAATTCAACGAGCAGCGGCAGAGCGTAAACGAGGCGTGGGATCAGATTCACGACGACTTTGACCAGTGGCGCGCCGACCTGACCATGTGCCATCCCACCACGATGACTGAGGCCCTGGGCGGGTTCGCCATTGAGTTCAACAGTGTCACCGAGGCGGCGCGGGATCTGACCCGTACCAAGACCACCGGAGAATTCGCCGACACGCTGATCACGGCGGCGGAAAACGAGGAGACCGCCTTCCGGCAATTGCGTGATCGCTGGCAGCCGGGCAACGTCTCATTGTTCGAAAACGTTGAAACCCAGCGCAACCTGGCTTCCCAGGCGCAACGCCAGGCAAAAGACATGGCCTTGGAGCTGCGGGCGACACTGGAAGAGACCGCAGACCCAGAGGAAATAGAGGAGTTCACCGAGGCGTTTGAAGCCATCCAACAGGACTGGGAGGACGCACACTCGGAGTACGGCAAGCTGAGCGACGGAGCGGCGGACGACGAAATTTCCGACGTCATTGAAGCACTCGGGGCCCTGACCAAAAAGGTCGAGGCTATCGCCGCCGACGTTGACGAATTGCCGTCCCTGAAGGGCGGAAAGGACGCGATCAAGGCCTTGGAAAAGGCAGCCGAAGCCGAGGTGGAGGCGTTCAGCGCCGCCGCCGAGAGTTCAACCGGCGAAGAGGAAGGGGCGAAGCTGCCCGACGGCGAAGAGGAAGAGGCGAAGCTGCCCGACTTGAAGGACATAGACGCCAGCGTCAAGGTCAGCGAGGATGCGCTGGAGGCTCTGGCCGACGTGATCGACGATGTATCCGTGGAGGACACGGCGGACGCGCTGGCCGACATCACCGTCTTTGATCTCGAATATGACCGGCTGCTACAGACCTGGGACAAGTTCCACTCCGACTACAACGACTGGCGGGGAGACGACGGGGGATGTGATCGGGTCGAGGTGTTGGAATCGCTCAGCGAGTTCAGCGCCGGCATTGACGCGGTGGGTGATGGCGTGCGAAGCCTGCCCCAATCCGGCTATCTGCAACCCGTTCACCGCGTGCTGGTCGAGGCGATAGAGGGGGAGGAGGAAGCTTTCAGGAGTCTGCGCGACACCTGGCAGCCGTTCACCCTCGATGCCCTGCGCGCCGTCGACCGGGCGCGGACCATGAGTGACACCCGGCGCGGCGCGGCTGACATCATCATCGTGGAGCTGGAAAACCGCTTCTGAGCGAACGGTTCCGGCGGCTGACCGCCGCGGCATAATGCGCTGTGGGGCGGACGGCGTTCACCGACGAGGTGCGCCGTCCGCCCTTCTTTTGATTGGGGCCGGTCGGCTGATCGACTGGTCGGGGTATTTCGACTACTCGATGCTATAATCCCCGAACTCCCATTGGTGTTACGGTGCAACCATGCGCTTCGGCCATTTCTTCTACCCCATGAAATTCGACGACTCGCACGATGACGTTGCGATACAAGAGTGCCTGGACGAGGCGGTGCTGGTCGAAGAGTTGGGGTACGACGCCATCTGGTTCGCCGAGCACTACTTCACCGGCGAGTGCGTGTACGGCGACCCCCTGGTGTTCGCCAGCGCGGTGGCGGTGAAGACAAGCAGGGTGCTGTTGGGGTTCGGCATCATCGAGCTGCCCTTGCACAATCCGGTACGCGTCGCGATGCAGACCGCGCTGCTGGATAACCTGAGCCGGGGCCGGCTGGTGGTGGGAACCGCCAAGGGCTCCAACTACAACGCCTTCGAGTATGTGGGGTTCGGCAGCGACCCGGCGCTGGGCGCGGCCCAGATGGAAGAGGCCGAGGAGCTGATGGTCACCGCTTGGACCCAGGATAACGTCGATTTCCGCGGTGAGCACTATCAGGTCGCCTTCCCATCGGTGCGCCCGAGGCCGTACCAGAAACCCCATCCGCCGCTGGCGCGGGCCTGCATCAACCGCGAATCGATAATGGAGATGGCGCGCATCGGCCGGCCGATCCTGCTGCGGGGCCGCTCCACCAACAGCACCGCCGCCGATATCGTCCTCTACCGCGACACCATGGCGGAAGCGGGGTTCGACGAGGAAGCCATCGAGCGCAACCTCGATCAGATCTGGGTCTGGCGCGAGATCCACGTGGCCGAAACCGACGACCAGGCCATGGACGAGTTTCTGCCGGCCAACCTGGAAGCGTACTCAACCATCCAAGCCTATCGGGAACGTTGGAACCCGAAGGAATTCCCCATGTCCCACCAACCGCCGCCCACTCAGAAAGACGCCTACGGCGAACGGCCCAACCCGGACGCGCCGGAGAACCTCGTGGGCAGTCCGCAGCGGGTTGCCGAGCAGTTGGACGAGATGCGCAGCCTGGGCATCCGGAACCTCATGCTGACCAATCGCGGGCTGATGTCGGCGGAGGCCACGCGGCGCTCGCTGAAGCTCTTGGCCGAACAGGTGATGCCGAAGCTCCGCGATGGCTAGCGGAGCCCGCCGATAGCCAAACCCGGACCTCGCGCCGGGGCCCGACAACCTTTCAAGAGCGTTCGACGGCGACCCACAACCGCCAAGGAGAAGCGTGATGGAAAAGATCAGGAACAATCATCCGGATATCGCACCGTCCGGGTCAACCTTCAGCCGAAGCGTTAAGGTCGGCAACCTGCTGTTCGTCGCCGGCTGCACGGCTCGCGGCACCGACGCGCAGGGTCAGTCCATGACGGAGCAACTCAGGGTCACGCTGGACCGCATCGCGGGCATCGTGAGGGCTGAGGGCGGCGCGCCTTCCGACATCGTGAAGATCACGACCTTTGTGACCAGCGTCCCCGCATGGCAAGAGCAACGGGAAGCCCAGGAAGCGCTGTTCGCCGAGTGCTTCGGTGGTCAGTATCCGGCCAGTACCCTGGTGGAGATCACGGCCCTGGCCGAGCCCGGGCTGGACGTCGAGATCGAGGCCATCGCCGAGATCAGCTGATAACGGCTCCCGGTCCGGCCATCAGCCGGACCGGTGGAATTCCTCCACCTGCTGCAGGTAGTTGCGCAGCAGGTCGTGTCCCACCGTGGTCATGATCGACTCGGGGTGGAACTGAACGCCCTCCACGGGCAGCTCCTTGTGGCGCACGCCCATGATGAGGCCGTTGTCCGTCCAGGCCGTGACTTCTAGGAACTCCGGCAGGGTGTCGGGGTAGATGACCAGGCTGTGGTAGCGGATGCCCTCGAACGGGTTGGGCAGGCCGGCAAAAACCCCTTTGCCATCGTGGTGGATCATTGAGGTCTTGCCGTGGCGGATCTCACCGGCCCGGTCCACGGTGGCGCCATAGGCGTCGCCGATGCACTGGTGCCCGAGACAGACGCCCAGCACGGGCAGCATGGGGCCGAAGTGCCGGATGACGTCGTTGGAGATCCCGGCCTCCCGGGGCGTGCAAGGGCCGGGGGATACGACGATGCCCTCGGGCCGCATGGCCTCGATGTCCTCGATGGTGGTCTTGTCGTTGCGCACCACCTCAACCTCGGCGCCCAGTTCGCACAGGTACTGGTAGAGGTTGTAGGTGAAGCTGTCGTAGTTGTCGATAAGCAGCAGCATCAGTACAGCTCCACCAGTTCCAGCCAGTTGCCGTCCGGGTCCTGGCAGTAGGACGCCTTGCGCACCAGGTTGCCGGCGTCGTCGTGCATCGGCACCGGCGGCGTGGGATAGCTGAGGCCACGGTTGCGGGTGTTCTCGTAGAACGCGTCGATGTCCTCGACATGGAAAGCCAGATGGGCGGCGCGGATGTCATTCTTGCCGAAGTCGGCGTACCCGCCCTCCGGGTTGATGTACTGGATCAGCTCCAGTTGGTGGCCGTCGCCCATTTCGAAGAACGCGCCCTTGATGTGGGCATCAGGGAAACCCAGCAGGGTGGCCGGGAACTCCCCGGTGCGCTCGGTGCGCATGGTCAGGGTAAGGCCCAGTACGTCGGAGTAGAAGGCAACGGCGGCCTCCAGGTCTTTCACGATAAAGCCGGTGTGGAAGAAGGACTTAAGCATAGTGGCCTCCGGGTTTTCACATGGATGCACAGGATTGACAGGATGATGGGGCGCCAGGTTTACGTGATCGCCGCGTCGCGATTTTCCGGGCAGTGGCATGGCGTTAGACTGCGCCCTCCGCAACGTCGATGGCGCGCATCATGGCGCCGGATTTGTGGCGGGTCTCCATGTATTCATCCTCGGCAATGCTGTCGGCGACCACGCCGCCGCCGGCCTGCACGTACATGACACCGTCCTTGAAGACGCCGGTGCGCAGCACGAGGGCGGTATCCATGTTGCCGTTGTAGCTGAAGTAGGCCACCGCGCCGCCGTATGGTCCGCGTCGCTCCTGCTCCACCTCGGCGATGATCTCCATGGCACGGATCTTGGGCGCGCCGGAGACGGTGCCGGCGGGGAAGCAGGCGCGCAGGGCGTCGTAGGGGGTCATGTCGGACCGGAGCTGGCCGTCCACGTGGGACACCAGGTGCATCACGTGGGAGAAACGCTCCACGTCCATGTACTGGGTGACTTTGACGGTGCCGGGGATGCTGACGCGGCCGATGTCATTGCGGCCGAGATCGAGCAGCATGATGTGCTCGGCCTGCTGTTTCTCGCTGCCCTTCAGTTCCTCTTCGAGAGCGGCATCTTCGGTAGGGGTCTGCCCCCGCGGACGAGTGCCGGCGATGGGGTGGGTGGAAACGGTGCCATCATGGACTGTCGCCACGGTCTCGATGGCAGCGCCGACAATCTGAAAACCGTTGAGATCGAGGTAGTACATGTAGGGGGACGGGTTGCTGCCGCGCAGGGCGCGATACACCTGGAAGGGGTGGGCGTCGGTATGCCGGCTGAACCGCTGGGAGTTCACCACCTGGATGACGTCGCCGGCATAGATGTACTCGATGCACTTGTCGATCACGGCCTCATACTCGGGCACGGTGAAGTTGGACTGGGTCTCGCCGCCGGCCGGGAGGGACGGTGTTGCCAGCAATTCGGGCGGGATTTCCAGGGGCCGAGCGAGGCGGTCCACCATGCGCTCGACCTTGGCGGTAGCCGCGTCATAGGCCTCAGCGATGTCGCCGCCGTCCAGCCGGACATGGCTGACCACCTTGATGTCGTGGCGCAGGTGGTCAAACACCAGCAGAGTGTCGGTGAACATGAACACGGATTCCGGCAGGCCCTGGGGGTCGACGTCCAGCATGGGAACACGAGGCTCGAAGTAGTGCACCGCGTCATAGGCGACGTAGCCCACTCCGCCACCGTGAAACGGGGGCAGACCCTCCACGGGGACAAGCTGAAAGGAGTCCATCTCCCGCTGCACCAGGGTCAGCGGGTCGACCGCGCCCGAGGGCTGGTCGGCGCCGGTGCTGAAAACGTCGTAGGGCTCGGTGCCGATGAAACTGTAGCGGCCGATGCGCTCGCCGCCGGCCACCGATTCCAGCAGGAAGGAATAGGGCGGCCGCGCGACCTTAAGGTAGGCCGACACGGGAGTTTCGAGGTCGGCGTTGATGGTGCGGTAGACCGGGCACAGGTTGCCCTGTCCGGCCAGGGCGCGGACCTGATCCAAAGTTGGGTAGTACATGGTCACGATATGTCATCCATCGGGTCTGAGAACTCGGGAGTCAGCGAATTAGGCCAAAGAAAAAGCCCGTCCCCTGCGGGACGAGCCTGACGGCCGCGATGCCACCCTGCATACGGTGTTCAACGGGCAGATAACGTTGCCCATACGGCCCGGCCTACTTGGCCCCCAACAAATCGTGGGTGTTTGCCTTTGGGCGGGAGGCTCCGGGGGCCATTCAACGCCTGCGCCTGGCGCCGGTTCGCAGCTAACCCGGCTCTCTGGGCCTCGCTGGACGCGTACTAATCCCCTTCCCAGCATTTGGGTATTCGGATTTGCAGGATCAATTGTATGGTTGGCGTTTGCGGGCGTCAAACGCGCAGCGGCCGAAAAGTACTGTTCCGAGGTGGTGAGGCGAATTGGGCGGAACTGGTGTTGCGGGGTGGCTGGCTTTGGGTTCGGTGGTAATGGTCATATAACTGGGATGGATACCGAAATCGATCTCATGCTGCAGACCGGGATGTTCTGATTGGCATCATCGTCCACAGCAGGCCATCATTGGCGCGGGAGAAATGCCTGCCCAGTTGGATAGGGCAAGCCAACCCAAAGGCTCCCGCCGGGATGCACCGGTTCTGAAACCCAAAGCAGACCGGGAGCCAGCACGTCCCCAAGGAACCACCCCTCGCACAAACCCCGACCTCTCTCACGGCTTTGCCCTGCCCGCTACGCCCACCCACCGCGTGGAAGCAGTTGGGAGCATTCCGACTGCCGGGACCCATTGTCTGGGGGTTGGGCCACGCACTCGGGAGTTGATCGACCTGCCGCGGTTACCGGCGCAGGTAACCGAGCACGTTTAAACCTGACCCGCACGTTTGTCCCCCCCAGCTGCCGAACGCTGCGGGTTTCCCCCAAAGCGCAACGACGGCGTGGGTTATGGGCAGCAGCGCCTGGGGATCAACGTCATCACCGTCCTGATTGCGGTCCTGCGGAGGAAGCCAGGCTAGCCGTTGCGCACCATCCAGTTGCACCTTGATTACCAACCGTGCATATATGGGCTGTGCTACTCAAGCTGGGGGCCTCGTGGGCGGCCACACAGCAAGTGGCTGGCAAGGCCCACGGGGTGATGCGGCATCCTGGAACAGGTCCGGGCAGTCCTGTGGTCCACACGCCGATGAGAACGGGTTGGCGACAGGAATTGGACCAACGGCTACGTGTGGACTTTCGCACACCCAACCTGCGGGGTAACTTCCTGCGACGGAACCGTGGCACAATGGGTATGGACGAGGTTTTGCGACGATTTTCGCCGTTGCTGTTCAGCGACTTTTACGTACGGTACGCGGTACACGCAAACCGGACGCCGCCTACCACCACTATGCGGGTCCCAAACAAGCAACGCTGCTGGGCCCACCTCTGCGGGACTCCACGACTGCGATCACTCTATAACCCATTTTGGATCGCTGTCCAGTGGGCTGACGCCGTCCACCAACTCTACCGTCAGGCCACGGTCTTTACCCACCCCGCAGAGCAACAACGCCGCACACGCCAAAATGGCCCTGGAAGGACGATTGCTGGTCCTCTGCCGGCCCTACCTGGATGACCCGTCAGCCGCCCAAGCAGGCTGTGCCGACGCATGGAGAAACACATCAAAGGAACTCTTCGTCTTCGTGGCCCGAACCGGAGGTGCCGCCGGACAACAACAACGCCGCCCGAGCGCAGCTGCGCCATCTGGTGGTCAGCCGCAAGGTCAGTGGGGGCCACCCTCGTCGGACCGGGGTACTGCCACCAAGATGACGCTGGCGTCAATCTTCGGCACCTGGCGGGCACAGGTCTCAACACCCTCAACGCCTGCGTCAATGCTATGGTTGGCGTTTGCGGGCGTCAACGGCGGGCCGGAAAACGTTCGAGTGGTCCGGACGAGTCGAGGATCTGGCGGTCATCAGTGATCAGTTGGTGTCCTTCCTGCGCGGTGGCCATGATGATCCGGTCCGCTGGGTCGTCGTGAAAATCGCTCAGGGCCACGGAGCGGGCGGCGATCAGCCCGTCGACAGGCATTTCAATAAAACCTGCTCGCAACAGGTTTTGACGCCATTGGACGGCGCTCACATTCCGGTCTAACCGGCCCTTTGCTTGCAGCAGGGCCACTTCCCAGACCGAGATGGCTGAGAACGCAGCTAGGCTGAGTTCGTTCGCTTCGATTATTCTGCGCGCGGCTGTTGGCCCGAGGCGCGGATTAGAGTCAAGAAACCAGATAAGAGCGTGCGTGTCCGGGAGTATCAAGTGGGCAGATCCTCATCGTGGCCAGTGCATGAGGTGTACCACTCAGGTGGCAGCGGAGACACGATGTCGCCATGGATTTTGATCTGGCCCTTCATCGAACCGTAACCGTTGAGGGGTGGATTTTCATACTGGGTGAGCTGGGCCACTGGCTTGTCGCCGTCAAAGATAATTGCCTTGCCGCCATGTTTTGAGATGGCGGCGATGATCGACAGGTACTGCTCTCCAAATTCTTCAATGTTGAGCGTGTGCAGTTTTTTGTGGAAGGGAACGGCCTCGGTCATGATTTCCTCCGGCTGACCCGCTCGGGCGGCATACTGAACAGTTTGGAGTCTATCACGGCGTCAGCAGGATCTTCCCCGTGGTCTCTCTCCCCTCCAGGCGGCGGTGGGCCTCGGGGGCCTCGGCCAGGGGAAGGTTGAGGGTGACCTTGAGCCTGATCTGGCCCGACTGCACCCAGGACAGGCACTCCTCGGCGCGTCGCACCAATTCGTCACGGGTGGCGGTGTAGTCGCCCAGGCTGGGGCGGGTCAGGAACAGGGAGCCGTTGCGCAGCATACCGGAGTCCACCGGACCCACGGGCCCGCCGGCCTGACCGTAGAGGGCCATGCAGCCGCGCCGGCCGAGAACGCGCAGGCCCTTCTCGAAGGTGGTGGCGCCCACGGCGTCGTAGATGATCTTGACGCCCTGGCCGTCGGTCATCCGCCGGATCTCTTCCTCGAAATCCTGTCGGGTATACAGGATGACGTCGTCGGCGCCGGCGTTGCTGGCGAGGGCGGCCTTGTCGTCGGTGGAAACCGTGGTGTACACGTGGAGGCCCATGCGCTTAAGCATCTGGATGAGCAGCAGGCCCATGCCGCCGGCCCCGGCGTGGACCAGGGCGCTCTGTCCGGCCTGCAACGGCACGATGTCGTTGACCAGGAAGTGGGCGGTCATGCACTGGAGCAGCGTGGCCGCGCCGGTCTCGAAGTCCATCTCGTCGGGGATGCGCACCAGCAGCCACGCCGGGACGGCCTGCTGCTCGGCGTAGGAGCCGGTGTGCATGGCGTAGGCGACCCGGTCGCCCACGGCAACCTCGGTGACGCCGTCGCCCACGGCGATGACCTCGCCGGAGGCCTCGCGGCCGGGCGTCCACGGGAAAGCCGCCGGCGGGTTGGTGCCCTTCCGGCTGGACACGTCGGTGTAGTTGACACCGATGTTGCGAATGGCCACCACGGCCTCGCCCGGTCCGGCGACGGGTTCGGGCATATCCTCGTATTTGAGGACATCAGGAGCGCCGACTTCGTAGGATTGGATGCCTTTCATGGTCTTCAACCTCCAAGTACGGATGCCATTCCGGTAACGTTTTCGATTTCAGAAATGCCGCGGAAACTCTCAACCGCCTCTTCGATATGGTCCGCCGGCAGGATGTAACGGGTGCAGTAGAGGAACTTTGCCTCGAGCTCGTCTCGGTCGAGAGGCATGGCCGGCGAACCGCGAGGATGGTCGATACGGTGGGTCAGCTTGCGTCCATCGGCCAGGGTGACCACGACCTCCGCAGGGTTGAGCGCCAGCGGCGACGCGGGTAGCGTGGCCTCGACGGATACGCGCTCCATCATGGCTCGCACGCCCTCGTCCCGGACCGCCGGTTCGGAGAAGAAGTTGATGAGCGGCGCGCCGTGGCACAGAGCAGCCGCGGTGATGAACCCGATGGACTGGCGCGCCTGCCAGCCATTCTCGGGGAGGACATACGGCAGTTGCGCGAGGGTGTCAGAGGTCACCCCGACGTGTACATGGGTGATGTCGTGTGGCGTGAAACGGTGCAACTGGGCGATAGCCAGGACAGCGTCGATCACGCCGTGGCTGGCGGGAGGGCAGGGATAGAGCCGGATGGTAACCCCGGGGTCTTCGATGCGCCACCGATTGCCCAGATCGGCGATGGCCTCCGGAACTATGGCGAAGTTGTTGGCCGCGCCGAAGATCCCGGCCTCGGCGGTCAGCGCGGCCATCACGCCTTGCATCGCGGACCGGCCTTCAGCAAGGGCGGCAGCTCCGGCGGAGCCGAATCCGGTGTCCGCGTTCGACGCGCCCGAGGCCAGGCCGATAGCGTTGGGCAGGCCGTCCGTGTCGAGCCCGAGAAGCATGGCCGAAGCCAACGCCGCTCCCACTGCTCCCGCCGAGCCGCGGGTCGCGTCGGAGGCGGAGAGGCGGGCGGACACCTCGCATCCAACGGCGAAGGCCGAGAGCACGTCCTGGCCGGAGTATCCGTGCATCTCGCCCAATGCCATGACGGGGGGAAACACGGCCGCCGTACAGTGGGCCCCGGTGTCGACGGTGTTGTCGTCGAAGTCCAGCAGCCGCACCAGCGTGCCGTTAACCAACGTGGCATACACCGGCGAGGTTCGCATCCCCATGCCGATGATGGTGCTGCGGCCGTTGCCGCCCATCTCGCGAACGACGCGGGCCAGAGCGACGCCATCGGGGTGGGCAGCGCCGGCCAGGGCAGCGCCGGCGGCGTTGAGCATCAGCTCGCGGCAGAGTTCCGCCACCCGTGGCGGAACTGGAATGGTGGATTGGGCGACGCCGGCGGCGAACTCGGCGATCAGGCGTATGGGGTCGTGGTCGTTGCGGTTCATGGCACGGCAAGGATACCGAGGGCCGGCGGATGGCGCAACGCGGGGCCGCATATGCCAATGTGTATAATGCCGGCGTGGGCAGCCGGACGGTGATGGCGAGGCTTCGCGAAGATGGGTGGTATGTTGATCGCATCAACGGCTCGCACCACCAAATGAAGCACCCAGTGAAACCTGGCACAACCACGGTACAACACCCGCGTAAAGACATTGACCCGGCAGTGTTGCGGAATATCGAGAGGCAATCAGGGGTTAGGCTTCGGCCGTAGGTGGCAAGATGGATCGAACTTACATTGCCCTGATCCACAAGGACGCTGACAGCGACTATGGAGTGACATTTCCCGATTTCTTGGGCTGTGTATCCGGAGGCGACACCCTCGAAGAAGCCTGCGAAATGGCCAGCGAAGCGCTGATGCTGCACCTGGAAGGCATATCCGCCGACGGGGAGCACATTCCCCCGCCGTGTTCCGCCGCCGCCGCGTTGGCCCACGAAGATGCCGGCTATGCCATCGCCCTGATTGTCGTGGAAGCCCTACCCGAGCGGACTGAGGAAGAAGCCCAGGCGGCGCTGCAGGCATTCCTAGCGTCGGACGAATACGACGAGATATACAATACTCCCCTCACGGAGGAAGAGCGGCTGGCGCTATATGAGCCGCCGGAGGAGCCTTGCGACTCCGGCAACGGGCTAAAGCCGATACCCGCGGACGGCGCGGACCGGACCTACGCCGCATTGGTGCAGATGCGCGCCAGCGGCGATTTTGGCATCAGCTTTCCCGACCTCCCCGGTTGTGTGACTGCCGGTAGCACGCTTGAAGAATCGCACCGGATGGCACGGCAAGCTTTGGCGCTGCGTTTGGAAGGAATGGCTGCGCGCGGCAATCCCATTCCGACGCCGAGTTCCGCCGACGCAGTACTGACGCACCCGGATGCGGTGGATGCCATCGCCTTGACGGTGGTTGAAGCGCTGCCGGAGCGGACGGAAGCGGAGGCACCGGTCGCGCTGGCTGAGTTTTAGCCTCCGACCAGTACGCGAAATCTACGCCGCATCGGCAACTGCCCAGGGGTCATGTCCACCGCCAGTCCGCAAATCCCAACCGCTCGGGGTCCACGCTATGACCTGATGGCGGCCAATCTGGTAATTGCTGTCATCGCGGCGCTCCTGCTGGCGGCGGTGGGCAGCAGAGTTACCGTAGTGCAACTGCTGGAAAAGACTGAAATCGCCGGCATCGAAGTCAGCCTTGCGGTGGGGGCGGCGGTGAATCCCGGCGTGATCGTTGCCGCAATCGCAATCTTCTTTGCGGTGTCCGCGGCGATTTTCTGCACCTTTCACAACCGTCTGCAAGGCCACGCGCTGGCGGCCGTGGTGGCATTTTGCAGTTGGCTGTTCACCGGCGTTGCTTTCGTATTTTTCGTCGCAACCCTGGCGCTGACACCGTTAACGCTGGCCGTACAGGTTGGGGTTTGACTTGTATAATGCCGGCAACGAGCGCCAATCAACAGGAGGAGACGGCACCATGACGATGGTTAGCAGTGGCGGATCCGCCTCGGTGGAAACGCGGCAGTACGACGTTGCCATCGTGGGCGGCGGCATTATCGGGTTGTCCACCGCGATGCAGCTGCTGGAACGCTCGCCCGATCTGAGCGTGGCGGTGATCGAGAAAGAGGAGCAGTTGGCCCAGCACCAGACGGGTCACAACAGCGGCGTCATCCACTCCGGCATCTATTATCGCCCGGGCTCCTGGAAGTCGCGGTTCTGCGTGGGCGGCAAGGATCGCCTCATCGCCTTCTGCGACGAAAACGAGATCGACTACGATCCGTGCGGCAAGGTGATCGTCGCGAGCCACGAGAGCGAATTGGGGCGCCTGGACGACCTGTACGATCGCGGCGTCGCCAATGGCGTGCCCGACCTCGAGGTGGTGGGACCGGAGCGGTTGAAGGAGATCGAGCCGCACACCTTTGGCATCAAGGCGCTCTGGGCGCCGCACACCGGTATCGTCGATTACGTGCGGGTGGCAAACGCCTACGCGGGCAAGTTCCAGTCCGCTGGGGGCGATATATTCACCGGAGCGGCGGTGATACGGTCCAGGCAGACCGGCGTCGGCACCGCCCTGGAGACGGAACGCGGCGCCGTGCAAGCACGCCACGTGATTAACTGCGGCGGCCTGTACGCGGACAAGCTGGCGAGGATGATGGGCGAGGAGACCGACGTGCGCATCATCCCGTTCCGCGGCGAGTACTACAAGCTGACCGCATCCAGCGAAGGCTTGGTGAAGGGGCTGATCTATCCGGTGCCCGACCCACGGTTCCCGTTCCTGGGCGTGCATTACACGCGGAATATCCACGGCTACGTGGAGGCAGGCCCCAACGCTGTGCTGGCGTGGGCGAGGGAGGGATACCGCAAGAGCAACATCAGCCTGGGAGAAACGGCGGGCGCGCTCACTTACCCGGGTTTTTGGAAGATGACCGCACGACACTGGAAGACGGGCATGCGGGAAATGCACCGGTCCTACAGCAAGTCCGTGTTCGTCAACGACTTGAAGAAGCTCATTCCCGAAATACGCCCCGAGCACCTGGAACCGGGCGGCAGCGGCGTGCGCGCACAGGCGGTGTCCTCATCCGGCGCAATCCTGGACGACTTCCATATCCTGCGGGGACAGCGCGCGCTGCACGTGTTGAATGCTCCGTCCCCGGGAGCGACATCCTCGCTGGCCATCGGCGAATACCTGACGGACATGGCGGTTGAGGACTTCAGGCTGGTCGTTCGCTGATCGTGTGACGATCAGCTTTCCGACGGGAGCCGCTGTTGGCCCACGGCGGTCCCGAAGGTCCGACCGCGAAGCGATCGGCCTGTTGCCCGATACGCGTTTCTGCTATACTGGCGCCCTAGCCGAGGAACGCCATCGCACAATGGGAACCGTGCCGCCGCTGGCAGCCGCCTGCGGGGGCGATTTTTCGGTTTAGCCTCTAAATTATCCGGGAGTGCAAGATAATGCCGGCTTACGCCGTAATCGGGGGACAATGGGGTGACGAAGGCAAGGGTAAAGTTATCGACTACCTTGCCGGTCAGTCCGATTGCGTAGTCCGTTACGCCGGCGGGAACAACGCCGGTCACACGGTGGTGAACGAGCGCGGCGAGTTCCAGCTGCACCTGGTTCCTTCGGGCATCTGCTGGCCCGGGGTGACTGGGATCATCGGGAATGGCGTTGTGGTGAACCCCGAGGTTCTCCTGGGTGAAATCGCCGGACTCCAGAACCAGGGCATCAGCACGGACCAGCTGTTCATCAGCGACCGCGCCCATGTGATAATGCCCTATCACATCCTGCTGGATGAACTCCAGGAAAAGGCTCGGGGCACGGGTGCCATCGGCACCACGGGACAGGGAATCGGGCCGGCGTACGTGGACAAGGCCTCCCGCGACGGCATTCGCGTGGGCGACCTGCTCGACACCAAGCATCTGCCGGACCGGGTGAACGCCGCCGTGGCCATGAAGAACCGGCTGATCACCGGCGTATTTGACGGCGACTCGGTGGACGCCGCCGAAGTATTGGCCAAGTGCCAGGCCTGGGGCGAGCAGTTGCGCCCGCAGGTCCGCGCCACCGAGCAGATGGCGCAGGACCTGCTGGAAAGCGGCAAGCGGGTGCTCCTGGAAGGGGCGCAGGGAACGTTGCTGGACGTCGATCACGGCTCCTATCCCTATGTCACGTCGTCTTCACCGTCCATCGGCGGCGCCATCACTGGACTGGGGATCAACCCGCAGTCCATTGAAGGCGTGGTCGGGGTGTTCAAGGCGTACTCGACCAGGGTCGGCGGCGGTCCGATGCCCACCGAGATGCACGGGCAGTCCGGTGAAGACCTGCGCGAGAAGGCCCACGAGTACGGAACCACCACGGGCCGGCCGCGGCGGATCGGTTGGTTTGACTCCGTCGCCGCCCGTTACAGCCGTCAGATCAACGGTTTCACGGGGATGGTGCTCACCCGCCTGGATATCCTGGACGGCATGCCGGACGTGAAAATCTGCGTTGGCTACCGCGCAGACGGGCAGGACCTGGACCGGTTCCCGGCGAATACCGCCTTGCTGGAACGCTGCGAACCCGTCTACGAAAAGATGCCCGGTTGGATGGAACCGACGGCCAGCGCGACGCGCATCGAACAGTTGCCGGCAAATGCGTTGGCATACGTGAAGAGATTGGAGTCACTTGTCGGCTGCGATGCCCAGATTATTTCCACCGGGCCGAGCCGAGAAGAAACCATCGCAATTGAACAAATTATCCGGTAGCACGTTTGACACTTTCGTAATAGCATTGCTGCTGCGGCGTCGCCTGGCAGAGCGGGCGAAATAACTTGCCGCGGAGGATCCTGTTATGGCCACCAATAACGCAACCCAGGCGGATACTTCCATATTTGGCCGTATTTTCGCGCGGTTTACTGACGAATTTTACTTACTCTTCAGACTCATCTTTGCCCTGCTGGTGTTCCTGCACGGCATTCAGAAAGCGTTCCTGCTGTGGAATTTCCCCGCCGGAGCGAATCCCAACGGGCTGGGCGCTCTGGTAGACCTGGCCGGATGGATAGAGATTATCGCAGCCATCCTGATTGCCACCGGCGTCTTAACTCGCCTGGGGGCGGGAGCCCTGGCCGTGAGCATGATTGTCGCCTACTTCGGAGTGCATGCCGCCCTCAGCCCGGTCTGGCCATGGCCGCACCTGTACCCGAACCCTCCGGACGGCGGCAACGCTTTCGTCGCCCACGGCGGCGAAGTTACCATCCTCTGGTTCATCTGCGCCGGCATCATCGGTATCTTGGGCAGCCGGAAGTATGGCTTGGAGCGCCTGTTCCTCAAGAAGGAAATCCTCTAGCAAAACCATAACGCAAAACCAAACTCACACTGACCGCCCGGCGTCGCCCCCATGACGCCGGGCAAAGAGCAACTATCATGCAGCAACAAGCAGCGCGCTTCGGTATCTACTTCAACTCCTCCCAGAACCAGGTGGTGCGGATCAATTCGCCGTACTGGTTCCCGCCGGAACCGGAATGGCAGAAGGTGACCGGCGAGGTGAACGCCACCCTGCTGGACCTGCGGCGGATGATCGGGGAGCAGGGCCTGTCTGCGGATTCCGACGGAGTGACCTGGACCACCCTGCCGCTGTTGGACGAAGACAACTAGCCGGTCATGGCCTCGGAGCAGCCGGGAGCCGTACCGGAACCGGCGCCCGAGACGGAAACCTACGCCCGTCCGCCGGGATGGCGGGGGCGGATGATGGCCGCCCATCCCGAGCAGGCCCGCCGCTGGATGCGTTGGGCCTGGGTCTGCGGCATGGTGTGGTGGGTGTGGACGATGGGGGTCCTGGTGGTATGGATGGCAGCCCCGGTCCTGGCAGTTTCCGAAGTGGAAGGCAGCACACCCGCGATACCCCCGGCCAAGCTGCTGATCTACTATGGGATTGAGGGTTTCGTTATGGCGCTGCTGGCGCTGGGAGTCATGCGCTACTGGAGGCCGCCAGCCGTCCTGTTGACCGTGGGGTTCGTCGTTTCAAGGATCGTGCTGATCATGCTCGGGTTGATAACGCTGGACAATTTTCGCGACGCGATATGGCTCGCGATTTATGGAGGGCTGCTGTTCGCCTTCGTCAGGGGCATTCAGGGCGCCTACAGCTATCACTGGTTCACCCGTCCCCCATTGCCCGAGAGAACATAGTCGACGGGCAAATCAATGGGGCGGGTTCATCACCCGCCCCCATCGCTGGTAATGTCTTCCGGTGGATGTTTTAGCTGCTCGCGAAGGCCGGCATCACATCCTGGGCGAACCGGGAGAGCTGGTCCTTGAAGACCTCCCGCGGCATTCCCATCACCGAACCCAGGTTGACCCGCTCCACGCCGGGATATCGGGCTTCGTCTTCCTTCATGCTGTTAACGATGTCGTCGGCCGAGCCGCAGAGCCAGGCCCCGCTTTCAACGGCGCCCTCCAGGGTCGGCAGCTCCACGCCGCGGCGTAGGGACGGGTTGGCGACGGCGTCAATCTGGTTCTGCTCCAGGCGCATGAGGCCCAGAGGAGCGGCAAACTTCATGGCTTCCTCGAAGTAGGGTTTGGCCTCCTTGATGGCCTGCTCCCGGTTTTCGCCGATGAAGAAGCGATAGCCCAGCGCGATGTCTTCGCCCAAGGCCAGTTCCCGGCCGTATTTCGCGGCGGCCTGCTGGTACATCGTCAACCGTTCGTGTCGGGCCGGCTCCGGCGTGTTGGCGACCATCGCCTTGATGCCGATGCGGGCCATGAAATCCACGCCCTTGGGGTTGCCGGAGACCAGGGGCTGCCAGATATCCACCGGCTGGCGCAGGGGACGGGGCACCAGGCTGAGTTTCTCCAGGGTGTACCCACGATACGGTACGTTCGCCGGAATCTGGTAGTGCTTGCCCTCGTGGGAGAAGGCTTCCTCGTTGAACGCCTTGACCATGACCTCAACCTGCTCTTCGAAAAGCTCACGGTTGGCGTCGCCGTCGAACATGGGCGAGCCGAAGGTCTCAACCTCGCGGGAGTGGTAACCGCGTCCCACGCCGAAGATGATCCGGCCGCCCGACAAGATGTCGGCCATGGCGAAGTCCTCTGCCAGCCGCAGCGGGTGCCACATGGGCGTGATGTTGAACCCGCAACCGTACTTCAGGCTCTTGGTGTTGCACGCCAGGTACAACCCCAGCATGATGAGGTTGGGAATGCACTCGTAGCCCTCGGGCTGGAAGTGGTGCTCGGCCATCCAGAACTCGTCGTAGCCGTTGTCCTCGAGATGACGGGAGATGTCCAGGGCCCAGTCGAACACCTCAGCCAGTTGATCGTTGGAGTACCAGCGGTCGTTGGCGGGCGTCCCCTCCAGTCCCAGGTGATCGTCGACCACGTGGCCGGCGTAGGATGCGCTAAAGCTGTTGAACATGATGTGGTTCCCTCGTTGCGAATTTCTCTACGGGATGGTTAGGCAATTATTGTACTGCATTTTTGCCGAGCGACCGGGAGGCATCACCTGGGCAACCAGGCCTTTCCGAAGTTGTCTTTCATTGCGGGGAGCATGAAGAGGCGGCGATCCGTTTCGGCACTGACCGACCCCGGGCCAAACGTGCTTTCCATGCCGGCCAGATTGCCACGCTGCGCTCGCAATTACTCTGGATGAGCCCTGCCTGGGCAGGGGCGCCGCGCAATCCTCTGGCCATTTGGGACGACGCGCGCCACTCCCGTCAAAACGATTGCAATGCGCGGCCAAAATGGTCACACCATTGCGGGATTGCCGTGTCCTTGCGCTGCTTACGATGATGACCGGATGATACTGGCCTGATCTGTAGTCGTGTTGACGCTCGCCGGCGGCCGATGCTAACCTGCGGCTGCGTTGATCGGATCAATCAATGAGTGATCCGATCACTTATTTTTCGGAGTGCCCATCGATCAAAGTATTTGCTACAACCGCCACCTGAGGGGGTTCGAATGAAAGCAGCAGTTTTGCGGGAAGTTAATCAACCGGTAACCGTGGAAGACGTGCAGGTTGACGCCCCGGCGCCCCGGGAGGTCCTGGTACGGACCGGCGCATCCGGCGTGTGCCACAGCGATCTGCACTTCGTCGAGGGTCTCTACACGACGCCCATGCCCTGCATCCTCGGCCACGAGGCGGCCGGAATCGTGGAAGCGGTGGGTGAACAGGTTAGCTACGTGAAGCCGGGAGATTGGGTGATCTCATGTCTGTCGGTGTTCTGCGGCATCTGCGAATACTGCACGCGCGGACAGCCCTACCTGTGCACGCGCACCGCCGTGACCCGTAGTTCGAACGATCCGCCCCGGCTGCGCCGCGACGGTGAGGCCATCACCCAGTTCGCCCAGCTGGGCGCCTACGCCGCGGAGATGCTCGTCCACGAGAACGCGCTGGTGAAGGTCGACGACGACATTCCCTTCCCGCAGTTGGCGCTCATTGGGTGCGGCGCAACTACGGGTCTGGGCGCCGTGCTGAACACCGCCCGGGTTGAGCCGGGCAGTACCGTGGCCGTGGTCGGCTGCGGCGGCATCGGCATTCACTGCGTGCAGGCGGCCGCGCTGGCCGGCGCGCTGCGCATCATCGCCATCGACACCACCGAGGACAAGCTCGGCCTGGCTCGGGAGTTCGGCGCCACCGACGTCATCGACGCTACGGCCGGCAACGTCGCGGAGCGCATCATGGACCTGACCGACGGCGGCGTTGACTACTCCTTCGAGGCCATCGGCCTCAAGCAGACCGCCGAAGACTGCTACAACATGCTCCGGCCGGGCGGCATGGCGACCATCATCGGCATGGTGCCGGAAGGCGTCAAGATCGAGCTCGACGCCGGCAACTTCCTGCGGCGGGGTCGCGCCATCCAGGGCTGCACCATGGGTTCCAACCGGTTCCGCACCGACATGCCCCGGTACATCGAGTTTTACAAGCAGGGCCGGCTGAAGCTGGACGAGCTGGTGACCCAGGAGCTGGCGCTCTCAGAGATCAACCGGGCTTTCGCCGACATGAAGGCGCAGAGCGTGCGCCGCAGCGTGATCACCGATTTCGACAACTAGCCAACCGACCTAATTACTGCACACGACGCCGGCGCTCCAGTGAAAGCGCCGGCGTTTTCGTTCCCCGTCTCAAGTATAATGGCGGCCACACCAGACCCAACCTTTGAGGTCGATATACCAACTTCGGACTGACTGCCATGTACGTCATCGGAACCGCCGGACACGTGGACCACGGCAAATCCACGCTGGTCAAGGCTCTCACCGGCATTGATCCGGACCGCCTGCCCGAGGAAAAGGAACGGGAGATGACGGTCGACTTGGGTTTTGCGTGGATGACGCTGCCCAGCGGCCGCGAGGTTAGCATCGTGGATGTGCCGGGACACGAGCGGTTCATCAAGAACATGCTGGCCGGCGTCGGGGCCATCGACTTGGCCATGCTGATCGTGGCCGCCGACGAGAGCGTGATGCCGCAGACCCGGGAGCATCTGGCGATCCTGGACATCCTGCGCATCCGCCGGGGCCTGGTGGTCATCACCAAGGTTGACCTGGTTGACGAGGAACTGGTGGAACTGGTCAAGGCCGAGGTAGAGGATACCCTGGTCGGCACCGCTTTCGAGGGCTGCCAGATGGTAGCCGTGTCCGCGTACACCGGCGAGGGCATCGATGAGCTCAAGGCCAGCATCGACGGCATCCTGAACGACACCGAGACCCGTCGAGATCTGGGACGGCCTCGCCTGCCCATCGACCGCTGTTTCACGGTCAGCGGGTTCGGCACCGTGATCACCGGAACGTTGATCGACGGTTCGGTGGCGGTGGGCCAGCAGATGCAGTTGGCTCCGTCGGGACGCCAGGCGCGCATCCGCGGTTTGCAGAGCCACAAGTCGCGCCTCGACGCCGCGTCGCCCGGGGTGCGATTGGCCTTGAACCTGTCGGGCATCTCTCGCGACGACGTGATGCGCGGCGAGGTGCTCACCAACCCGGGCTGGCTGCGGCCCACCCGCCGGTTCGACGCCAACCTGCGCATGGTAAAAGGCGCGCCCCACGCCCTGAAGCACAACGAAGGTGTGACCTTCCACCTCTTCACCAGCGAGACCACCGGCAGGGTGCGCCTCCTCGACGCCGACCGGCTGCAACCGGGCAGCGAAGGTTGGGTGCAGGTGCTGCTGGACGATCCGGTGCCCATGGTCAAGGGCGACTTCTTCGTCCTGCGGTCGTCCGAGGATACCCTGGGCGGCGGGCAGGTGGCAGATCCCAACCCGCGTCGCCGGCACCGTCGGTTCGCCCCCGAGGTGCTCGAACAGCTGACCGTGCTGGACGCCGGCGCCAGCGAGGACGTCATCCTCACCATCGCCGACCAGATGGGGCCGTGCGACCTGAGAACCCTGTCCCAGCGCTCCAATTTCTCCAACGAGGAAGTGCTGGAACGCATCGGAGTGCTGGTGGATTCCGACGATATCGTGGCATTGGGCGAGATGGGTGTCCAGGGTGACGCGGTGATTTACTCTCGGCGCGGTTGGGACATTCTGCGGAACCAGGCGCAGGTCGCGCTGCAGGCCTACCACAACCAGTACCCGTTGCGCCGGGGCGCTCCGCCCCAGGAACTGCGCAGTCGTTTGGGCGTCTCGCAGCCGGTTTACCTGCGCGCCGCCGCGCGTCTTTCGGACGAGGGGGCCATTACCGATGACAACGGCCTGGTGCGAACGCCGGATCATAGCGTGGAACTCAGCGACGGGCAGCAATCCGAAATCGCCGCGTACCTGGCCACCCTGGCCGCCGAGCCCTTGGTCGCCTCCAACCGATCGCCCGGTGGACCCGGAACTGCTGGCGCACCTTCAGGAACGGGGCGACGTGGTGAAGGTCAACGAGACGGTGGTGTTCACCACGGCGGCCTACGAGGACATGGCCGGCCGCATCGTCGATCACCTGAAGGCCAACGGGAATGTCACGGTGGCCGACGCGCGCACCATCTTCGGCACCAGCCGGAAGTACGTCCTTCCCCTGCTGGAATACCTGGACCAGCAGCGAATCACCAGGCGCGTCGGCGACGAGCGGGTGCTGCGGTAACCGCCGCGATCCGGTCTGCGATTGAGCCACGATTTTGCGATAGAACCAAGATGGCGTTGGATTTCGGCCAAACGGCCAGCCAGATGATGTCAGCCATGGGCCACCTGTCGGCCACGGCGAGATCGCGCCGGCAAAGGTTCGCGGACACGCTGGACCGGGCTTCAGCCATCTCTCCCGACGAGGCCGGCCGGCGCACCGCGTCCGCAGGTGGTCGCCCGTTCATCGCGGCGCGCACCGGAGATGAGGGGCTGCTGGCCAGCATCCCGCCGCCATCGCCGCCGCGGGACTGGATGGCGGTCTCGGTGGACGGCTCCCACATCGACGTGGACCGCCACCTGCCGCTGCGCTGTTACCTGGTCAACCTGGGCGGGTGCGCCATAACCTACGGCGCGTATCCCGATTGCCAGTTTTTCAGCGAGCCAACCCTGGCCACCGGCGACGGCGATCTCTACCTGCGCCCGGATGACGGCTCCCGGGGTGAAACCCCGATCTCCGGCCAACTGCTGGGCGCGCTACGCACGGTGCGCGAGGTGGAACGGCTGGCCGATGCCGTCGCGTCGTCGTCGCCGGACGTGCCGGTGCTGGCGTTGCTTGACGGCACCCTGGCATTCTGGGACCTGCAGCGCGGCAATTACCCCAGGTACGTTCTGGATACTTTGGTAAATAATCGTCTGCGCGCAGCGTTGGCCCGGCTGCGTGCGGCTTCCCGAGGCCGGCGCCGGGTGGCGCTGGCCGCTTACACTTCCCGACCTCAGACCACGGAAGTGGCCGGAGCCGTCCGCGCTTGCCTGTGCGTCAGCAACGTGGCGGAGTGCACCCGACGTTGCAGCGCGCGCCGGTCCGACCTGGCCCAGTGTGACAGCGCGGCGGGTTTCGACGACCGGGAACTGTTCGATGCGTTGCTGGAACCGGGCCACCGCTCGCCGCTCTATCAAACGGGTCGCCGCGCGTCGCACTTCGCCCTTGACCTGGCGGTGGGTACCGAGTGGAGCCGGTTCTACTACGTGAACAGCGGCACCGAAGTCGCCCGTGTCGAGGTGCCCGACTGGGTCGCCGAGGACCCCGAGTTGCTTGCACTGGGACACTCCATGCTGGCGAGACAATGCGAACTCGGCCTCGGGTACCCCGTGGTAATCTCGGAAGCCCACGAGCAGGCCGTCGTCAACGGAAGAGACCGCGAGGAGTTTCGGAAACTCGCGCTGATGCTCATGGAACAAAACGGGTTGCCGACCTCCGAATCGGCCAAAACCCTTTCGAAACGACTTGCCATGGGTGTGACCGCGCCGGTTTCCCGCGCGCGGGCGTTCCCACCGGGAGCATTACCCAGGCTGGACAAATGACACAGGAGGAACCGAAATGGGCGAACTGAACGACTTGGCCGCGTCGGTGGCGGCGGTGCTGAAAGAACGTGGAGACTCTTTGGCGGTGTCGGAGTCTTCGTGCGGCGGGCTGATATCGGCCGCGCTGGTATCGATACCTGGCGCCTCGGACTACTATGTGGGCGGGTCGGTGGTATACACGCGGGTGGCGCAGGCGGGCCTGTTGCAGGTGCCCGAATCGGCGATGGAGGGTCACCGCGCCAGCACGGAATACTACGCCCTGCTGAACGCCCGGACTTCCCGCGAACGATTGGGCACCACCTGGGCTCTGGCGGAAACGGGGGCCAGCGGACCCACCGGGAACCGCTACGGCGACAACTATGGTCACGCCTGCTTTGGCGTCGCCGGCCCGGTGGAACGCTCCCAGACGTTGGAGACGGGCAGCCCCGACCGCGAGGCGAACATGTGGGTTTTCGCCCGGACGGCGCTCGCGCTCCTGGAGGACGCTCTGAAAGCGGCGTGACACCGGCGAACCGCCCTTGCGGCCCGCGCTCACGGAGCCGGCGTCGCCAGGTACTCCGATAGCTCCTCGGGAGTGGTGAACTCAGCGGCGGTGCGCAGGAAATCGCCGAGGGTCGGGCTGCGCCGGCGCAGTTCCTGTATCTGCTGTCCAACAACGCTCACGCCGGCCGCGCCGGTGGTGGCATACGTGCCGTGGAACGCAAAGTACGCCTGGTTCAGCCGGCGCAAGCGGTAGCCTTGGGCTACGAACAACTTGCGCCGCTCCTCCATGTACGACTCGGCATGGTCCACTTCGCCCGTGGCCAGCAGTTCGTCAACTCGGATTCTGGTCGCGCGCATCTCATCCTGGAAGTCAAAACGGGGCCGGCTAACGTCGGCATCGTTGTCGGTTGTCGGGGGCTGGTGTAGGTGCGTTCCGGCAGAGCTCGGCGCATATCGGTCCAGTCGCATCCGGGCCAGCTCGCCAATCTCTTTGCCCGCAATGTCGGCAACCGTCTCGTTCATTGCGGTTACGTCCCCACCATCAAAATACCGTTGCCCCAGCGGGCGAAACCACAGCCATTGGTGCACCCATTCGTGGGCAACCACCTCCAGCGCAAAGTCCAAACCCCCGTGGGGCACGACGATGGATGGGTACAGCGCGATACCCCCGGTATTCAGTACCAGGGCCGAGAGGTCAGTTTGGTTTTCCACTCGCGATTCGATCCATTCCCGCTGCTCGTTCGTCAGGCCGGTTCTCAAAGTTACGTTGCCCCGTCGCTCGATGCGGTCACGCGGCGAGGTGACCAGGATCGTCGGAGACGCGGACAACACCGTGTCCACCGGCGGAAAGGGTCCGGTCCAGGCCCGAAATCCCAACGACTCCAGCGTTGCCGCAATCGTCGTTTCCACGGTGTCTTCAACCGCAGGGCGCAATTCGTCGCTACGGTTCCGAAACCTGGCCTGCCGTTCCTGGAGCGAGGCAATGCCGTCTTTATCCTCGGGCGCGATCGTCGTTGCGGCTTGCAACTCCAGCAGCTGTTGGCCGGTCGACCAAAGCGACCGGCTCACCGCGAAAAATTCGTGCACATCCGCCACCCGTTGTGTGGGTACCGGGTCTCGCGCCAGGGCCGCCGGTGTCGCAAGCAGCATCCGGATCCATTTGTCGGGCAGGTTGGCCAACTCCCATCCGGGCGCGCTGAACCGGTAGGGGGCAGTTGCCGCAGCGACGGCGTCCCGCTCATAACCTGCCACCGGTATGAGCGCAGCGCACACGCCGGCCAACGCCAACACCCGCCAGTACGCGGACTTCCGGCGCCACCTGGAAACACGTTTGGCTGTTGGGGATACTTGGCTGGTCATGTGACGGCTAACGACAGGTCGGTGGCCCCGGTCGGTCTCATGGACAATCGGCGGTCCGTTCTCTGGTGTAAAGATTGTACCGAACCCGGGTGTTGAGGATCCCGCTGACTACGCAGCTTTCCGGACCGCATCCGCGCGCGATGGCCCTGCTCAGATCAGAGTGCTAGAATAGGCTGGTGTCCCATCTTCGCCCTGGAGTAAGCCCATGAGCACGTCATCATCATCGTCATCACCGCGCCGCAAGCGGGTTTATACCAAGTACGGTGATCAGGGCGAAACCAGTTTGCTCTACGGCGGCCGCGTATCCAAGGCCAACCCTCACACGGAAGCCTACGGGATAACCGACGAGGCGGTCAGCCTGATGGGCCTCGCTCGGGCTCTCACCGACGACGACAAGGTCAAGAACATTCTCCGCGATCTCCAGCGTGAACTGTTCACCGTGGCCGCCGAATTGGCCACCGATCCCGAGAAGTATGACCTGTTCCACCAGCACTTCACGCCTGTGACTGAGGCGATGGTGGACAAGCAGGAAGAGATCATCGACGAACTGGAAACGCACTTCCAGATGCCGCAGGTGTTCATCCTGCCGGGCGGAACCCCGTCATCGTCGGCCATGGACTCTGCCCGCACCGTCATCCGCACCGCCGAGCGCCGCGTCGTTGCGTTGGCCGAGGTCGGCGGCTTGACCAATCCACTGATCCTCGCCTACCTGAACCGCCTGGGTGACCTGCTGTTCGTGCTGGCGCGGTACCACGACCGGGACATTCCCATAGAGCGGGCTACCGGCGACCGGGTCTGACCCTGGCATGGGCTCGAAAGACACCGGCCGCGCTCGCATCGTCGTCATCGACTACGAGTCCGGCAACCTGCGCAGCGTGGCGCGGGCGGTGGAAAAAGCCGGCGTCGTTCCCAAGGTGTCCTCAGATCCGGCGGCGCTGCGGGACGCGGACGGTGTCATCCTGCCCGGGGTGGGTTCCGGCCCGGCCGCCATGGCCGCGCTGCACTCCCGAGGCCTGGTGCGCCCGTTGCTGGACTATATCGCCAGCGGCCGGCCGTTCCTGGGGGTCTGCCTGGGCTTGCAACTGCTCCTGGACGCCACCGACGAGGGCGACGCCGATTGCCTGGGCCTGGTTCCCGGCCGGGTGCGTCGCTTGCCCGACGGCCTGAAAGTCCCGCACATGGGATGGAACACCGTGGAGTTCCGGCGGGAGCACCCGCTGTGGCAGGGCATACCACAGGATAGCCATTTCTACTTCGTCCACAGCTACTACGCCGATCCGGTGGCGAGGGCCGATGTGGCCGGAGTGACCGAGTACGGCGTCCCGTTCTGCAGCATCTACGCGCGCGATAACGTCGTGGCGACGCAGTTTCACCCCGAAAAGAGCGGCGAAAACGGCCTGCGCGTCTACGCCAACTTTATCGAGCAGGTCGCCGCGGAAACGTAGCTCGGCATCTGGCCCGCCCGGCTGACCAGGGGTAACTGCAAACATGGAAATCATTCCCGCAATCGACCTGCGCGGCGGCAACTGCGTCCGGCTGTACCAGGGAGACTATGACCAGGAGACGGTCTTCTCCGACGATCCGCTGGGTGTAGCCGAACGATGGCAGGCTGAGGGCGGTCAGCGCTTGCACATCGTCGATCTGGACGGAGCCCACACCGGCAACCCGGCCAACCTCGCCGCGATTACAGCCATCACCGGGCGTCTGACGATCCCGGTACAGGTGGGCGGCGGCATTCGCAGCGTGGAGACTGCGGCCGGCCTGTTCGATGCCGGCGCGGCCCGCGTGGTGGTGGGTACCGCCGCAGTCGCCGACCCTCAGTTGGTGGAAGACTTGTGCCGGCGCTTCGGCAGCGAGCGGGTGGTTGTCGCGCTGGACGCGCGGAACGGCTTGGTGGCCATTCGGGGCTGGACCGAGATGTCGGAGATCGGCGCGACGGAGTTGGCCGGGCGGATGCGCGACCTGGGTGTGGAGCGTCTGCTGTACACCGACATCTCGCGGGACGGCACCCTGGAGGAACCGAACTACGAGGCCACCGCCGCCCTGGTGCGCGATAGCGGGATGCGCGTGCTGTCGGCCGGCGGTGTGGGCGCGGCAGCGCACGTGGTGAGGCTGATCGATACCGGCGCCGAGGCGGCCATCATCGGGCGCGCCCTCTACACGGGTGATATCACCGTGGCCGCGGCATTGGCGGCGGCGCGAGGATAGCCGAAGGCCGATCGCCCCCGGCAAGCAGGCTAGACTACGGCGGCCGCCACGGCGTCGTCGTCGCCGACCTCGATCCCGCCCCTCTGGTCCAGATACTGCTGGCGCAACGCCAGGCGGTCGGACGAGGTCTCGTCCCAATCGTCCCGGAGAACTTCCATCAGGATGAAATCGTGGGACATCCGACGGACGTTTCGTACCGGATTGAAGCCCGATCGCTCGAAGCTCTTCTGCGCCCGGTGGTTCCATTCCAGGGTGTGCAGGTACACCCGCTTGAGCCGCAGGTCGTCGAACATGTGGTGCAGCAGTGTCACCACCGCGTCGTAGCCATAGCCGCCGCTCCAGTAGTCCCGGTCCCCGATGACGATGCCCAGCTCGGCTTCCTTGGAAAGGCTGTCCAGGTCGTAGTACATGCAGTTGCCAATGAACTTGCCCCCGGCAACCTCGATGGCGAAGTGATGCGAACCGGGCGTGGGCCAGCGGACCTGATCCTGGAAGAGCTTGAGGTATCGCTCGTACTTCATGGTCAGCGGATAGGCTGCGTCCAGCCGGGCGATTTCGGGATCACTGCGCCAGATGTAGTCATTCTCGGCGTCCTCCATGCGCTTGCCTCGGAGGAGCACGCGCACGCCCCGCAAAACCAGGTCCTTGCTCATAGCTCCGCGCCTCGCCGGTAGGAACCGATCAGCGAGCGGGCCGCTGCCAGGACCTCGCGCTCGTTGTCGTATTCGAGCAGCTCCACGGCCTCATCGTAGTTGCACCATTCCACCACGTCGAATTCGGTGTCGTGGTCCGAGGTGCTGCCGCCCATGGGTTCCATGAGGTAGAAGTAGACGGTCTTGTCGTAGCGGATGCCGTCGTCGTGGCCAACAAAGAAATAACGGATGCTGGTTATGGGAGCCAGGACATTCACGTGTACGCCGGTTTCTTCCTGGACCTCGCGGCGGGCCGTTTGTTCCACGGTCTCGCCCCGCTCGGGAGTCCCCTTGGGCAGCCGCCAGGTCAGCGGCGCGTCCTCGCCATGGTAGCCGGGACGCACGCGGGCGCACAGCAGGGTCTCGATCAGGTCGCCAGTCTCCCGGAACACCAGTCCACCGGCCGACACGACCTTCACGTTGGAGCGGGTTCCCGTCGCGCAGGGGTCGGACACCGCCGGCACGGCGTCATCATCAAACCCGAAGCCGGCGCTGGCAACGCGGGGTTCGTCGTCTGGAAGTAGGGTATGGTTGGTCATGGTGTAGGTATCTGGGAAAGCATATCCCAGTTATTGTAGCCGTAGGGCCGGGAAGGGTCAAACGAGCCCGGCCCACTGCCGGCCACCCGGTTTGTCCTTGGGAACGATGCGTGGCAACCCCACTGGCGGGACAACGGCGTCTGTGTCTCAACCGGATTTCCACCAATGCCGGTTGGCATCTTCTCGATCAAAATCCAGCAAAATGGGTGGGCTTAAGGCCACGCCGGGGCGGCCAGTCGACCGGCTGCCGGCGGCGTTTATCCGCCTCCGATGGCCGGAACGAAGTGTATTTCGGCGTCTTCGCCGACTCTCTCCATCAGGCCCATGCGGGCCACCTCGCCATCCACCGCGACCGCAAGGTTGGACCGGATTTCACCGTCTTCCATCAACCGGTCGGCGATGCCGGGGAAATGCTCGTCCAGTTGCTCAATCACCTGGCGCACGTTCCTGGCGGTAACCTCGACCTGCTTCACTCCACCGGTGGCTGCCTGCAGCATGGTTGGCACAAACACTTTGACCATGACCCTCACCGCCTTGTTTCAGGGTTGTTTACCATCATACGTCGCCCACGGTGTCCGGCTCAACACGCGGCCAGATTGGCGTCCGGCGCGATGATGCCGTTGGCGCGCTGTAGCTCACGGATGTAGCAGGTGATGTTCGGGACATCCTCGTCGGACACGGTGGGTACGGGAGGCATGTTGCCGAACTGCCAGTGGTGCGATGGTACGCCGTTGCGGACCGCGCTTTGAATGGTGAAGTCCTGGTGGTGGCCGGGTTCGTAGATCTTGTGAACCAGCGGCGGGCCAAGGCCCGTGCCCGAGGCATTGGGTCCGTGGCACAGCGCGCAGTTGGCGTTGAATATCTGCTCCCCGGCCCGCGCGTTCTCTGAAAAGTCGGGGACGACCACAGCCGGCGATCCAGAAGAGGGCTGGGTGGCCTGGTAACCGGACGCCGGCGGTTCTTCGGCCGAACATCCGGCCAGTGCCAGTGACAGCAGTCCCATCGCCAACAGGCTCAGGGCCAGTCCTCGAAGCGCCTTCATCGGGGTGACCACGGGTGGCTGAACGGTGCCGACCGCTGCGACGGGACGGCCCCGGCCTCCGCCGCTAATTGTTGCCCAGTGGACCGTGGAAACGCGGCAGGATCTCCTCGCCAGCCTGTACCAGCTGTTCCATGGACTCGGTGCCGGCGCACAGGGGACGGATCACGAACTTGAACCCGCCGGCGTCGACGTACTGATCGATGAAGTCGCCGATCTGCTCGGAGGTGCCAACGGCGGAGTACTCAGTGAAGTGCGCGTCCGGGCGCTGACGGGTGACGAACTGCTCGGACCGGGTCTCGCCCTCTTTCTGGTCATCGCAGATGTAGTATCCGATGAGGACGCCGACGTGATCCTCCTCGATCTCCCGGTCACACTGCTGGGCCGTTTCGAACACGATCTCCCGGCCCGAGCGGATTTCCTCGGGAGTGGCGCTGGATACCAACCATCCGTCGCCCACGCGGCCCACCCGACGGGCGGCGGCGGGGCTGCGCCCACCGATCCATACCGGCGGCGAGGGCTTGAGGAAGGTGCGGGGCGTTACCGACACGTTGTGGGTGGTGAAGAAGTCTCCCTCGTGGGTGACGTCTTCCTCCTCCCAGAGGCGCCGCATCAGGGCGATGGCCTCGTCGGTGCGGCGGGCGCGGTCAGCCTTGGGGACGCCACACGCCTCGTACTCGTCAGGATCCTCCTGACCGAGGCCGACGGCGGGGAAGAAGCGGCCCTGGGAGAGCCAATCCAGCGTGGCAACCTGCTTGGCCAGCACCACCGGGTTGCGCAGCGGCAGGGCCAACACGCTGGTGCCGAACTTCAGACGGTCCGAATAGCCCGCCACCAGGGACAGCGCAACCATGGGCTCCAGGCTGAACCTGTCGCTGCAGATACGGTCGCTGAGCCAGATCGAGTCGTACTCGTATTTGTCGCCCAGTTCCACCAGGGTACGGAGGAAATTGGGGTCGTCGCCTCCCTGTCCGAATGCTCCGGGGACGTAGCCGATGGCAACGCTCATGGTGGTTGGCCTCCTTGGTGGTCGATGATCGCCTGACCCGTATTGTAGCAAAGGCCGGTGCGGCCGGTGCGGACGGAGACGTCGATCTGCTCGGTTTTCGATCTGCGCGCGAATCAGCCTAGAATCGGATCCAGGCCGGCCTCGGCCCGTGCGTCGTTAATGTGGTCGAGGACACGCATGCGCAGGGGCGGCAGTTCGTATCCGACGTCGGCCATCATGCGGCTGTTGTCCACGAGATACACGTGGGGCACCGGACGGCTACCGGTGGTGATGCTGGCATCGGGAATGTAGGAGCGCACCATGTCGGCCACGTCGGCGATGGTGGCCAACTCGCCGCCGCTGATATAGATGTTGTGGCTCAGCTGGTCCGCGAGGGCGACCCGACGAAGATCTCGGCGGCGTCCTCGGCATGGATCATGGGAGAGGCTTCCTGGGGATCGAAGTCCATGCTGACGGCCTGGCCGATGGCCGGGAGGGACATCATCAGCCCGCCGATCATGCCAGTCATGCCGGTGACGCGCCCGTGTCCAAAGACGGTGCAGATGCGCACGCCGCGAATGTCGAGACCGTGCAAGGTGCGGTAGCGGGCGGCGGCAAAGTCGTTCACCGCCTTGGTCATTCCGTACACGTTGATGGGCGCCGGCAGATCGTCCTCGATCAGCGGGCGGTCGCCGAAGGTGTCCTGGACGCCGTACACGGCGATGCTGCTGGCATACACCACGCGGCGGATGTTGCCCCAGCGGGCGGCCTCGAAGATGTTGTTGGTGCCGTCGATGTTGACCGCCATGCCCGTGGCCGGCCGGTCTTCGGTGTCGGGCGGCAGCAGGGCCGCCATGTGGATGATGCGGTCCACGTTGTGACGGTTGACCGCTTCCAGCAGGTGTTCCAGGCGGGTCACATCGCCCCGATAGATGGATATGCGGTCGAGCAGCGGCTGCAGGTTCGCGCGCGGCGGAGCCAGGTCGAAGCAGACCACCTCCTCGCCACGTTCCACCAGCTTGCGGATGATGCGGTTTCCGATAAACCCGGTGCCGCCGGTAACCATCACTGACATTAATGGACCTCCGATTATTGCTCGTTATTGGGCTCGCGGACTCTGGTCCGGGGTCATTCTTTCTTGGGCCGGTTGCTCGGTACGCTTTGATTTTTGGGAGGCTGCCACTGCTTCGCAACGTTGCCATCGGTTGTGGCTTGCGGCGGGCCGTTTACGCGCCCGCGCTCTTCCACTCCGCCCTCGATGAATAGCGCTGTACGCTCGATTGGTAGTTCTTTATTCCTTGGCTTGTGATGCTGCCTGTCCTGCCCGTCAGGCATGGCTAGTCCTCCTTTTGCGCGTCTTGTTTCTTTCGGTCGGCGGGGGCGGTGCCTTTGGTAGGCGGCTGCCACCACTTAGTTCCACCACCAGCCGGCTTTGGCATCGGCCGGCCACCTCCTCGTCGCTTTTCCATTGGAACCGTCCGTTCATGCGGATCAAATTCTTTCTCATTCATTAGGTTCAAACTTCCTCTTTGACGTGCACGGTCCTTCTATACCATCCTTCCGCTTCCCTGGATTCCGATGCGTTAGAAACCCATGCCGATACGACTATAGCCGTGATTTCAGCCGCAATGATGAAATCATACGTCATCTGCTCCGTCTCATTGGGTTCAATCACTATCCCTTCCGTTACAGTCTCTTCGTTCCTGAGGCGCCACGGGAATTCGATATCCTGCTCACTGGCCGGAGTGCCGTCAAACTCACGCTCCATTTCCTGAATGGTCTCGTCGTCGTACGGCGACACCACCTTCAACTGCCAGACTACCTGATTGACGCGGCATAGACCTTTTCCGGTATTCTTCGAGTTGAGGGCAACCATCACGGCGTCGTATTGGAGGCTTGCCGGAACTCGTACCACCTGTAGCTCCATCGTGAGGTTAGGTATGTGTTCTCGGCCCCGCCGATAGTTTCGGTCGGCTGCGTAAAGCGTCACCAGGAAAGCCGCTGCCGTTCCAGACGTGCCGGCCACCATTCCCAGCCTCCCAACATCAATGGTTGCAATACCCCGGGGCGGTGTGCCATCTACCCAGGTATAGATGTTCTGCGTAACAGCAATGGCCAAGGTGATCGCCAGTGAAATTGCAAAGGAGATGATCGCCGCTTTGAGGACCCAACTGCCGGCGATAGCATCCAGAACATTTCTGATTTCGCTCCCCATCCCGCAATTCTAACTCTGACGCCGCCGCATGGCTTTCTCTGTGTGTATCTATCGCCACGGCGCGCTGGCGATCAATCCCGGTCTACAGCAAAAAGACGTTACCTGCTATTGTACCCGGGTCCACGAAGCGGACTGTCAAAGTGTTCGCCCATCTTCAACGTGCCCATGACGTCGTTCCATACCGCCGTGGCGCGATCGGCGTCTTCGGGCCAGTAGCTGAAAGTCAGCAGGGCATGGATGCTTGCCTTGGGGTCCCGTGTGATGGCGGTGCGCGAATAGGCGAGACGCTTTTCGCCGGGATCGATGAACTCGGTCTGGACCCAGGCCATTTCCAGGTTGCCCAGATTGATCGTCAACGGCGCGCCGGTCTTGCGGGCGTCATTCCGCTTGGGCCGACGGTTGGCCCGACCTTTCCAGCCCGATCCGTTTTCGTCGGTGACATTCTTGATCAGCTCGGACAGGGGCAGGTCGCTCCAGTCGATGGGCACCCCGAAAGCCCCGGCATAAAACACCGTCACCTCAAGGATCATCGTGTCGTCGGGATGTTGGGCGTCGCGGAACTTTACCGACTTGCGGGAGGGTTCCACCAACCAGTGCTGGGGGATTTCAAAACGCAGCGCGCCGCGGTCGGCGACGAAAACCTTGTTGCCCGGCTTGGCCGTCCACCCGTGGTTCTCCGGAAGGTTGAAAACCTGCTTGCGCCAGTTCTGGTTGTCCACCGGTCACCCGCCTGAGGTTCGAGCAGTCTGCAAAGATGAAGGCATTATAGACGATGCCGCCGGTGAGATTGCTCCGGCCGTGCCGGATGACTTGGCCTGGAGATGGACTACCCCACCTAGCCGTTCCCGCTGCTCACGTCGCGCCGTTGCGTTATCAGCATCGCCAGCGCCGTGAAGGCGGTCGCGTAGGCCAACACCGCCGGCAGGAAGACCCATGGGCCGAGGCCGTCGTCGCGGCCCATTAGGCCACGGGTGACGCCCCACAGCGTCCAGCGGGTGTAGTCGTTCAGGTTCACGTCCAGCGCCAGTTGGGAAATCGCCCCTGCCGCGGGATACGCGATCGACTCAACAATCAGAACGGCGATGCCGACACCCAATCCGAAGGCGGTGGAACGGCCCACGGCGCACAGCAGCGAACCCAGGAGCAGGTAAGCGATTGCGACCGGCCACGCCGAGGCGAATTGGCCGGTACTTTCGGCCCAGCCGTCGGCGTCCCGGGGCATGACCTCCACCGCGTTCGTCGGCGGGTCCGCCGCGACCAGGCCCACCAATGCGGCCAGAACCCATGCGGTGATCCATGCCGCCGCCATGATTGCCGCCGCCAGAATCAGCTTCGCCGTCACCACCTGCCAGCGGGGCTGTCCCCGGGCGAACAGCGGACGGAAGGTTCCCCATCCGTGGTCGCTGCCGAAGACCATGCCGGCTAGGACGACCCCCAGGAACGGCCCGAGCCTCGACAACAACTCGAACACCACCAAAGGAAATTCGTATGCCGGTATCGCAACGCCCGACTGGATCAGCCTCAGCACTCCGACGGACACCGCCAGTGTTCCCACAACCGCGAACGCCAGCAGGCCCATGATGACCCAGAATTCGGTCCGCCGGCGCAGGCGAAACCATTCCCACCGGATTGTGTTGGCCAGAACCGCGACGGAGGTCATGCGGGTTCTTGTTCCGCCTCGCCGGTAACTTCCATAAATCCGGCCTCCAGGGAGCCGGACGCCGGGCGCAGTTGGGAGACGTACACCCCGGCATTGGCAAGGTCGCGGCTGATTTCCCACTCACGCCCCGGTGCGGCCGCCACCTCCAGGCCCTCTTCGGGTCGGCTCATGATTTCCCAGCCGCCATCCCTCAGCACGTTGGCCGCGCGGTCGTCGTCGGTGGTGCGTACCAGCGCCGACGCGGGGGCGCCCATGCCGGCCACGGCGCCGCAATACAGCAGCTTGCCACGCCGCAGGATCGCCACCTGATCACAGACCTGTTCTACCTCATTGAGCAAATGGCTTGCCAGAATCACGGTGCGGCGGCCGTTGGCGGCCAGCTCGCGGACGAGATCGCGCACTTCAACGATCCCAACCGGGTCGAGCCCGTTGGTCGGCTCGTCCAGGATCAGGAGTGACGGACCGCCCAGCAAAGCGGCGGCGATGCCCAGGCGCTGTTTCATGCCGGTGGAACAGGCGCGAAACTTGCGGCGGGACGCTTCGCCCGCCAGGTTGACGGCATCCAGCAGGTCGGCGATTTCCGCGTCGCCCCCGTCCGAGCCGTACATACCTTGCAGGCACTTCAGGTTGTCCCGGCAGGATAGATAGGGCCAGAAGATCGGCCGCTCAATGAGTGCTCCGACGCCGTCCAACGCCTGTCCTTGCCCTGCGGGTCCGTCGCGTCCTAACAGGGTGACCGTTCCGTCGGTAGGTCGTATGAAGCCCGACAGCATGGAAAGCAGGGTCGTCTTGCCGGATCCGTTGGGACCCAGTAGTCCAAACACGCCCCCGGCGGGGATATCCAGGCTCACGCCGTCCACCGCCATAACCCGGCCGAACCGCTTGGTCAGAGCCGAGACTGAGACGGCCGGCGCGACCCTCTCCGACAACGTAGGAGCGGCGCTAGTCACGGCCGGGGCTAAACCAGGACGTCAAAGCCGTAGCCGGCGCTATTCAGGTTGCCGTCCTCAAATCTGGACAGCTTCAATGGGGAGATGTCCATGGTTGTTGCCACGCCACTGCCAACCAGCTCCGCCATCAGCACTCCCACCATCGGAGACAGCTTGAACCCGTGGCCGCTGAAACCGGTACACAGGTAGAGCCCGTCAACACCGTCGATACGATCTATGATGGGATGAGAGTCGGGCGTGTTGGTGTACAGCCCCGCGTAACCGGCAGCCAGTTCCGCGTCAGCGATGGCAGGGATCCGTCGGGCCAAGCGCTGCCACACGTCCTCGATAAACGATGGGCTGGCGCGTTGGGCGAATACCTCTGGATCGTCGACGACATCCGAGTGGTTGCCGTTGCCAACCAACGTGAGGTCCTGACCTTCGGGCCGGAAGTAAATCCGATTGCCGATGTCGGCGCCTCCGGGATGGTAAGGAAGCACGTCCAGCTGCCGGCGGAAGTGCAGGACTTCATGGCGCGTTGCGACCAGGGGCACCTCGATTCCATGGGGGGCGAGGAAACGCGCTGTCCACGGGCCAGTCACGACTACGGCGATACCGGTCTCGATGCGCTCTCCCGTGGCGGTCCTAACCGCGACGACCCGGCTGCCGTCTTCGCTGGTTTCGATGGCTGCCGCCGGTGTTTGCAGCCGGATGGTTACGCCCTCCGCCCGCGCGCGGGTCGCGTAGGCATAGGCGGTGCCCGATGCGTCGGCGTGGCCGGAATAGGGTTCGTAGGCAATGGCCGCCGCGTCAGCAACCTCAAACCCGGGAGCCAGTTCCGCGGTATCGGCGGCGCTGATGATGTCGGTCGTCACGCCCACCGATTGCTGTGTCGCGATGTTGGCCCGGAAGGACGGCAGATCGTCCGCTCCCGCGAACACCAGGTAGCCGGTGCGGGTGTAGCCGCACTCGCCGCCGACCATGTCCGCGAAGTTGCGGAAGATGTGCAGGCTCCGCCACGCCAGTTCGGCGTTGACGGCGGTGGAGTAGTGCATCCGAACCGCGCCGCTGCTGCGCCCGGTGGAGCCGCTGCCCAGGGTTTCCCGCTCGAGGAGCACGATGCGGCGCAGGCCATGGTCGGCGGCGGTGAGCGCGAGGTTGCAGGCGACGCTGCAGCCCATGACGCCTCCCCCGATGATGACGACGTCGGCGGTTTCGGTTGCGCCGGTCATTACGCAGATGCTTCCGCGGGGAAGAGTTCCTGAAGGAGGTCGATGGCAGTGGACACGGCGTCCGCGCGGCGGGTTACCGTTTCATCGGGCAGGTCATTTTCGTAGAAATGGATATGCAAGCTATGGGCTGAGTTTGCCCCGTTATCCAAAACTGCACCCACACCAGGATCGTTGCCCGATACCAGAGCCACCAATTGCTCGGAGACTCGCAGGATGCTCGTATGGCTGCGGACCCGCAGTTTGTGGTCGGCAGCGACCGCTTTCACAGTCTGGGAATACGCTCCCCAAGATTTTTCCGCTACTTGGCGATAGTCACCGTCATCCAAACTCTTGCGGGCGTGTTCCCGATAGTGAGCCAGACTAGCCCGATAGGTTGCACCGGACTCGATAGATTCAGCGGCTGCCAACACAACATCCGCCCGATTTGGCAAGCCGGCACGAATCGCATCGACTACCTGCTGCGCGGAGAGATTTGACGAGGTTGCCATTGGTCGTTCCGTGTTCCTTGATGCGAATCATAACACGGGCGACGGCTATGTTGGCCCGGAAGGAAGACAGGTCGGCCGCTCCGGCGGGAAGAGTTCCTGGAGCATGTCGATTGCAGTTACCACTTCATGGGAGGTCATGGCCAGCGTGGCGTCGGACAGGTCATTCTCGTAAAAGTGCTGATGCAGGCTTCTAGCCGTGGACAAACCATGCCTCAGGGTATCCCCAGCGACCGTATCGGACGATCGTACCAGCAGTGCAATCCGGTCCGCTGCCCCGATGATGCTCGCGTGGTGCGTGACGCGCAAACCGTGATTGGCGGCGACGGCCTTGATAGCCTGGGCGTACGCTCCCCATGACTTTTCTGCAGCCTGGACAAAATCGCCTTCATCCAGATTCTTTTGCACGTGGTCGCGGTAGTGGGCCAGGTTGCCATGATAGACCGCCGACTTCTGGGCCGCTTCCGTCGGCGATAGTTCAACCGGCTGACGTCCCTCTCTCAGGCCGGCACGAATCGCGTCGGCCACTTGTTGTAACGAGAGGTTTGATGGTTCCGCCATACCGTTGTCCCGTGTCCTCGTCCCGTGTCCACTTTGGCGAATCATAACCCGGAGCGATTGGGTCGATTTCACCCGCGTTCCCGCGACCTGCGGACCCTGAAGCTGGCACCACGTTGCTTCCGCATCCAGCGCAGGAAGTCGGCGAATCTGGGGTTCGATCTGAGCAACGCCACGCTGTACATCTCCTCGGCCAGCGTGGTGACCGAAAACATGGCGTGGACCTGCCGGTGACAGGTAGGGCAAAGCAGGGCGGTCGGACCATGGTTGCCGCCCCGGGCGCGGGGAATCAAATGATGGACGGTGAATCGTTCGACCGTCCTTTCGCACAGTTCGCAGCTTCCCGTGTCTTCTCTGGCGTGTGGGCGTGCAGCCCGGCTGCGGTCGTCGCCGGATTCCTGGGAAGAGTCGGATGCGGCGGCCTGCTCTTTTCGTGCGCCGCGAGAACGGGTGCGGGAGGGTCGCCTAGCCATTGCCGCCCGGGCCGGGAGTGTCCAGAAACCGCCAGCCCGGGAGGTCAACCTGCCAGTGGGAGTCTTCGAGCAGCATCGGGATCATCAGGCCCGACATCAGGCGGCTGTGCTGCACCACGGTTTCATCGGTTACGCCAAAGGGTAGAAACACGAATGCGTGCTCGTTGTCCACGTACCGGGTGGGAGCGGCGGCCAGCTCCGTCAGGTCTTCCAGCGGCCACAACCGAAGCACGGTGGTGCGGAAGTCATCCATCATCGATCCGCGCATGGGATGATCCGAGTCGTAGGCGGCGCGATAGGCCACCTGCATGTCGATATTGAGGCGGGTGGCCCAGACCCCCAGACGCATGCCGCGGGTCTCCTTGGAAAGCATCGACCAAGCCAGGTCCATGTCGCCGTCCCGTATGGACTCGGCGAACAGGCCGGCGCGTTGCCCAACCTCGTCAGGTTCCTGGCTGCGGCGCTGTCCGGGCATTCGCATGCTGATTATCCTCGGTACGTACGGAGCGGAATCGGGAGGGCTCGCTCAGTACCCGACCGCGTACCCGTCGTAGCGGGGATCGGCCGCGCCGTGGAGCGCTCCGGTGTCAGGGTCGATGTACAGGGCCATTTCGCGTCCGGTGACGCCGTCCCACGCGTCCAGCTCATGCACCGGATGGCCCATGGCCCGGAGCTGCCGCAACGCCGCTCCGTCGAAACGGTTTTCGATGAGGAGACGGTCCAAGGCGGTATGGGGCACCGTGGACTCGGTGCCGTCGCCCACGTGCTTCCAGCGGGGAGCCTCCACCGCTTCCTGTACCGTCATGCCGTGGTCAACCAGGTTCGTGATGACCTGCATGTTGCTCTGCACCTGGCAGTCTGCGCCCGGGGTGCCCAGCACGTAGGCCAAACGGCGGCTCGACGAGTTACTGCCGTTGCCGGCCGCCGGCCGTCGGAACACCATCACCGGGTTCATGGTGTGGCGCACGCGCTTGCCCGGCTGCAGGCAGTCCACGTGGTCCTGGTCCAAGTGCCAGTAGGTCATGCGGTTGTTCAGCAGGATGCCGGTATCGCCCGCCACCAGCGAGGAACCCCAGCCGCTCTGGATGCTCTGCAACTGGCACACCGCGTTGCCCGCCCGGTCTGCCACCACGAAGCAGGTGGTGTCTTCCTGCTCGGAGCGCGGGCCGCGACGCCGGGCCCCCACGCCGGCCGGCGACTGACGCTGACCCGCCGGTTGGTGTTGCCAGGGATCGCCGGCGCTCACGTTCTCGGACGCCCGCTCCAGGTCGATGGTGCCCGCGCGTTCCCGGGCGTATTCGGCGGACAGCATGCCGGCGACTGGAACGTCGATGTAATCGGGGTCTGCCACGTAGGCTTCGCGGTCGGCGAAAGCCATCTTCTTGGCTTCCACCATCAGGTGAATGGACGCTGCCGAACCGAACCCCAGGCTTGCCATGTCGTGTTGCCGGATGACGTTGAGTTCCTGCAGCAGGATGTGTCCGCTGGAATTGGGCGGCGCTTCGTACACCGTGTAATCGCCGTAGTCCGTGGAAATCGGGTCCTGCCAACGCGCCGAGCAGTCGTTCAGATCGGCCATGGTGAGCAGTCCGCCCTGCTCGTCGCTGAAGCGCACGATGGCTTCGCCTATTTCGCCCCGGTAGAAGACATCTCGCCCCTGCTCGGTAATGGCGGACAGCGTCCTGGCCAGGTCGCCCTGCCGCAGAATGTCGCCGGCGCGCAGCGGTTCTCCGGATCCGTCCCGCGTGAAGATCGCGCGGCTGGTGGGGAACTCGCACAGGAGCGCGTCGCCCGCGATGGCTGACGCCAGGTGGTGGGTAACGGGGAATCCGTCGTCCGCCAGGCCGATTGCCGGAGCCAACACGTCGGACAGGGGCAGCGTGCCGTACTCGGAGTGAACGTCCAGCCATGCATTGAGCAGCCCCGGCACCGATACGCTCAGGATGCCCTTCATGGGTATGCCGTCGCGATACCGCTCCAGCGTCGCTCCGTAGGGCGCGGCCCCGGTCCCGTTGGATACCCGCAGGCGATTGTCTTCCGCCTGGTAGGCCATGATGAACCCGTCGCCGCCGATTCCCGACATCAGCGGTTCGACCACGTTGAGAACCGCAGCGGTGGCGATGGCGGCGTCGAACGCGTTGCCGCCCTTCTGCAAAACGGATGTCCCCGCCTGCGCGGCCAGGGGATGGCCGGCACAGACCATGCCGTTGCGCCCCATGACCACGGGGCGGTGGGCCGAATAACGGATGCCGTGGGGTGTAGCTGACATCGGGACGAGGCTCCTTGTGGGTAAGTGCTCGGTCGGTAGGCCGGCGCCGTGTCTTGTCTGCCTGGTCGGGTCGTTCAACGCCGGTCCGGTGTCAGGATGCCGGGGCGCTGACGGGGCGAATTGAAGCCAGCATGTCGATGGACACGCCGCCCCGGGAGAAAAAGACCTCCAGCTCGTGAGAATAGACGCCGCCGGAGCTCCTGAGAGTATTGAGCAGGGTGTCTGTCCCGATGCTCAGTATTGAAGAGGGTTCGTGCTGCACGGTTGCCAGGTTCTTTGCGCCGCACAGGTCCAGCGCGGCAAAGATCGTGTCGTGCAGGAACGCCTCCTCGAGGTCGGTGTTTTCCAGCAACGCCAGGTTGAAGTTGGCGTGGGCCAGGTTGGCCTGGGCCAGGGTCGCGTCCGTGAACACCGTTTTGTAAAAGGTCGAGTTCGACAGGTTGGCTGAGTGCATGTCGGCCCAGGTCAAATCGGCCTCGGAAAAATCGGAACGGCTGCAATACGTGCCGCGCAGCACCGAGTAGCCCAGGTCGGCCCCCCGGAGGTTGATCTGGCTCAGGTCGGCCCGCGCGAGGTTGGCGCCTTGCAGTAGGGCGTGGGACAGGTTGGCCTCCCCTAGCGTAGCGCCCTGAAGGCTGGCGCCGCGCAGGTCGGCGCTCTGCAGGTTGGCTCCCGTCAGATCACAAAATTGAAGGTCGGCGCCGCGCAGGTCTGCGTCGCCCAAATCCGAGCCGCTGAAGTCGAGGTGGGTCAGGTCGGCCCACGACAAATTCGCGCCGTGGAGCCGCGCGTTGGCGAAGGATGTGCCGGTCAGGTCCGCACTGGTCCGCAGCTCATTCCATGCCGACACGTCCCGACGCAGCCGGCTCAAGCATTGCTCCTTGGAAACGGTGGGCCAGAATTTCATGACCGGACTCCTGGTTGGGTGGTTATCCCAATGATGGCAACGTTGGGCTCGATTAATCAACAGCCCGCGCTGCCTGTATCGGCGTTTGACGGGCCCATATTAAGAAAGCCCCGGCAGCCCGTGGCGCCGGGGCGATTGTCATGAGTTACGGCGGCCCCGGGCGCGACCCGGGACTGCCGTAGAACCCGAAGACCTAGTGTCCGCCGCAGCCGCAACCACCGCCGCCGCTTCCGCAGCCACATCCCCCACCGCCGCAGCCGCAACCACCGCTGCCACATCCGCCGCCACCGGCGTACATCGGGTTGTTGATTACGAACCCGACCCGACCGCCGAACTCTTCGACGTAGTCAATGGTGGCTTCTTCCAGGAACGGCGCGCTGTCCGAGTCCAGGAGGAACTCCATGCCTTCCATGCGGAGTACGGTGTCGTCAGGCTGGTGCTCCTTCTCCATGGTCAGCATGTACTGCAGACCTTGACCGGCCGGCATGGCAACCACCCGCAGGGCGGAACCGGTTTCTTCCTCAGCGGTGACCACTTCCTTGAGTTTTTCGATGGCCAGAGGGGTAACGTTCATTGTCGTCGCTCCTGAACAGCTCACGTAATGGGAACTCCAAGCGGGGTTCCCCCATTCCCACAATGTCCAAAGCTTATCACGCAGCACCGGAAGCGTCAAACGCGGAGGTCAAATGAGAAGTATCCTAAGCTGTAGCGGCCCACTGGCGAGAGCCGCGATGCGCTGGGCGACAATCTGCAGGCACGTTGCTTCAACCACCGAGCATGTTCACAGAACGGCTCTATCGAAAGGGCGACCACAACTATGGGCAGACTTACAAGCCAAACGCCGGGACTTCTCGGATTTCTTCCAGAAATACCTTGAGGTCGTCCTCAACGATCGAGTACCTTATTTCGAGATGGCGTTCGACGCTGATATAACTCGGAAAGCGGATGGATCGATGATTTGTTGGCCTACCGGGAACCATCACGCCAATCCATGGGCGACTGCCCAGCACTTGTTTGCGGAGGTCTACGAAATCTCTCGGGCGGACTATCTGGTCAATGACACCGCTTTTGACCAAATCGTTCCACTGTTGGTCAAAAATATCGGTCGCTACGACGTTATAAGTTTCGTCGTATATCGGCCCGGTCATCGGGAAATTCCCAATCCTTCTGCAACCGAACGTATGGTGGGTGGCGGAGCAATGAACCCTGACATCTTGTATGATATCGGCTCGCCATCCTCCGTGGACAGCCAGCCCGACTCTTGGTGGGAATATGCCTCTATCGCAGCGGCGTTAAATTGAGCAAATCGCTTAACCTGTTCGTCCAATAGCTTTTGGTCATCAGAGCTGAGCATTTCCATGTTTGCTGAGCGGTTCGGTATCATCCGATATCGATGATAACCCTGAATCGGTTGCTCGTACGCGATGGTCACATCGCCGTCCTTCTCCATTTTCCTTCTAACTTGGTACCATTGGTTAGGGTACGGGCCATGTGGAAAATGGAGATATTCTGCCTCGGTGATCGGCGCACCATTCGCATGATAGGCGGCGCAGTCAGCGAAATAGAGCAGCTTGACTAGCTTTGTCATCCCGAAATGAGGGTCATCCTGCGATCGTTCGCTTAGGTAAATGACCGCCTCGATTAATTTCGAATCCACGATTCCGTAAGTAACCATGGTGATTTCCCCCTCTGGTCGTCGCTGATGCAAAGCATTTGGTTCTCACCACGTGCAAAGTCAGCTAAACCGTCTAAACGGTTGTGGGCGATTTTAGCGCAGTTAGACGAAAACCACTACCATTGCTTCATTGCATGGGCGCGCCAAACCCACCCCGATCATTCCGCTGTTTGCCAGTCCACGCAGCCGTGCTTATACTGCGGGCATCGACGACCGGCCCCAGCGATGCGCACCGTTTCCGGTGGCCCACAGCAAGGAGGCTCCCATGCCCAAAGATAAGGTGGAAGTGTTCTGGTTCTCCGAACAACCCTACGCCCACGTTACCAATGAAGACGTTTCGCAGTACGAATCGGGACGGCTGGATTTTTCCAACTCCCACTTCGACCCTGAGAAGGCGCACATCCTCTATAACCAGTACCACGATCAATATGCCTGGGCCGACCAAAATGGGTTCGACGGCATCATGTCCAACGAGCACCACGCTTCGTACTGGTGCATGAAGCCGGCGGTCAACATCGACGCCGCCGTCATCGCCAAGGTGACGCGGAACGCCAAGATCGCCATCCTGGGCAACGTGATTGCCGTCAATGACCCCATCCGCATGGCCGAGGAAATCGCCATGCTGGACTGCATCTCCGGCGGGCGCATCATCTCCGGATTCGTGCGCGGCACTGCTGTCGAGACCCTGCAGGGAGGCATCGCTCCGCCACAAAACCGTGACCGTTTTGAAGAGGCCCACGACTTGATCATCAAGTGCTGGACCGAGCCGGGACCTTTCCGCTACGAGGGCGAGTACTACCACTACCGGAAGGTGAACCCCTGGGTCCTGCCCATGCAGAAGCCTCATCCGCCCATCTGGTTCCCCGGCTTCAGCAGCCCCGAATCGGTGATGTGGGCGGCACGCCATCAGCATCCGTACATGAACCTGGGGTCGCTGCTGGACCACACCCACCGTCTGCGCGACGTGTACATCGACACGGCGCGTGAGACGGGCTTCGAGCCCGGTCCGGAGCACTTCGGCTACCTGCTGCGGATATTCTGCGCCGACACCGACGAGAAGGCCCAGGAGCTCGGCCGCGAGTTCCTCTGGACCCAGGAACACCGCAACCGCGGCCCTCGCGAACACAACGACCCGCCCGGGTACCAGTCCCGCGAGGCGGTCGACATCCAGCGGACTCTGCCGGGCGCCGGCGGGTTCGGGAGGACGATGACCTACGAGGAGCTGCAGGAAGCCAACAACATCATCGTGGGCAGCCCCGACACGGTGCGGGAAAAGCTTTCCATGATCGTCGAACGCCTCAATCCCGGCTACCTGCATATCTATGGCAACGAGGGCGCCATGGCCCACGAGGACGTGATGCGCTCCATCGAGCTGATCGGCCGGGAGGTCATCCCCGCGCTGCACGAGATACCGCTGGTGGACCACTACTAGGAGCAATGCGGTTTCCGGCAACTCTCACGATACTCATCGCCGCAGCCGTCGTGTCCCTGCCCTTTGTGGGAGGTTGCGCGGTTGGCGGCGATGCTGTTTGTCCCGACGGTATGGATCCATTCACGGAACTCAACGCCTACTTTGGGCTGGAGAAAGCAGGTGGAGAGACGGTCAGCAAGGCAGAGTGGCAGACTTTCCTGGCCGACACGGTCACGCCGCGTTTCCCTGATGGGTTGACCGTGCTCGACGCGCGTGGCCAGTGGTTTGACACGGACCAGGGCCGGATTTACCGGGAGTCCACCCTGCTGCTGAACGTGCTGGTTCCCGCCGACGCCGCAAGCGACGGCGTTGCCGCCATTCGGGAAGTCTCTGACATATATAAGGAACGTTTCGAGCAGCAGGCGGTGTTTCACACCGCGTTGCCCGCCTGCGCCCACGTGTACTGACGGTGGCCTTGGATGACGAACGCCGGTGTCCGCGCATTTCTGCTGGGGGTGGCGCTCCTGGCGACGGCGGGCTGTGTGGCGCAACCGGAGTTCCAGTGCCCCAACGGATTGCAAGAGGTAGTGCGTTACGAGCTTTTCTTCGGGTTGGACCACGCTGATGGGCGTTCGGTTTCGCCCGAGGAGTGGGAGGCGTTCGTGTCCGACACCATCACGCCCCGGTTCCCGTTGGGGTTGAGCGTGCTCGACGTGAGGGGGCAATGGCAACGGCCGGACGGTGTCATCGAACGAGAGAACACCAAGATGGTGATGCTGGCGCATCCACCGCCCGCAGATGCCGGTATGGTCCTCGTAAACGAAATATCCCGGGAGTACCAGCGGCGTTTTGACCAGGACCCGGTGTTTCGTTCCGTCAGTCACCATGAGTGTTCCGGCCTTTTTGTCGAATGAACGACCCGCGTTGACAGGGAGAATGATTTGACACTGCAAAAGCGGCAAGCCTTCATCGGCGTCGGCACCATGGGCAGCCTGATGGCCGGCTGCCTGCTGGACGCCGGCATCGACTTGGCGATCTATGACATCAGGCGAAAGGCTGCGGAACCGCTGCTGGACCGGGGCGCACGCTGGGCTGATAGCGCCGAGGCAGCGGCGGCCGGTTGCGAGATAGTGTGGACTTCGCTGCCCGGGCCAACTCAGGTGGAGTCGGTGCTTCTGGGCAACGAGGCCGGCGTACTGTCGGCGATGGCGGAAGGCGCGACGTTGGTGGACACCACCACCAACGATCCGGACGTGGCGCGGCGGGTGTCAAACGCCTGCACCGAGCGTGGCTTGGCCATGTTGGACACTCCGGTGAGCGGCCGTCCCCCCACGATGACGATGATGGTGGGCGGCGACCGGGAGATTTTCGAGCGCGTGCGGAACGCGTTGGGTGCGGTCGCGGCCCAGGTTTTCTACGTCGGGCCGGCGGGAGCGGGGTGTGTTGCCAAGCTGGCGACCCAGTACATGGGGTACACCAACCTGATCGCTGCCATCGAGGGGATGCTCATCGCCCGCATGGGCGGCGTGGACCCCGCGGTTCTCGCCGAGATCGTGCCCGTGAGCGCCGGAGCCAGCCGCGCCTTCAACGCCATCCCCAACAGCATCCTGAACCGCGGCTTCCAGGCCGGCGGTACGCTGGACATCGTGGCCAAGGACGTCGCGTTGGCCTGTGAATTGGCGGAGCGGCTGAACGCGCCGGCCGGAACCGGCTCGGTGGCAGACGCGCTGTACAAGCAGGCGCAGGCCGAGGGCTGGGGAGCCGAGGGGTACCCGATCGTAGCCCGCATACTCGAAGCGTTGGCCGGCGCGGAGTTGAGCGGAGAGTAGAGCCCGCTATCGTGCCCGTCGGTTGGCGTCTGATTCATCAGCAAGAATGCTGGCCACTTCAGGAGGAATCTCTACGCCGTGCTCTGCCAACGTCTTGCTGATCCGCTCACGCTCCTCCTGACGCCCCTCACGGCGTCCCCTCTCGGTGGCCCTTTTCTCAACGGCTTCTTTGGCAGCGAACCACATCTGCAAAACTCCATACAGCGCCAGGGTGGCGGGGAACAGCAACAGCGTAGCCAGTATTATCACGCCGTCGTCAAGGTCCGTCAGCCCTTTGAGGAACCCGATGCCCCACAATCCGGTGCAGAACCCACAGTTACTGATCGCCACAGCGATCAACATGCTGACACTCACGGCCAGTGAACCGTCAATGAATCTCCACAATGATCGATTGCTGCCGTTCGTTTCCATTTCTTTTACCAGCGTCGGGGGCCTCGTACATCGCAGCGTAGCAGCAACAAGAGCCGGCAGTCTGCCCGCGAACCGGGCGCCTATCGTCCATTTTGCAACGATGGATTGCACTTTGCTTTGCAACTACGCCACATGTCGGAGGCCGCCATCCAACTTCAGGGGTGTGATACCATTCGCGTAGGCGAGCCGCGCCCGGAGGGAGAGCATGGCGATCACGTTCCAACCCAGCAGTTACAGCGGCCTGGTTGACCAGGACAACGGCATGGTCAGCCGGGAGATATTCGTTAATTCCGACATCTACGCCGAGGAGCAGGACCGCATCTTCACCCGCGCTTGGCTGTTCGTCGGCCACGAGAGCCAGGTCGCCAAGCCGGGCGACTTCTTCGTGTCATCCATGGGCGAAGAATCGGTGATACTGTGCCGGGACCGCGAGGGCGAGGTCCATGTGTTCCTGAACTCGTGCATGCACCGGGGCATGAAGGTGTGCCGGTACGACGAGGGGAACACTCCCATCTTCACGTGTCCCTACCACGGGTGGAGCTTCGCCACCGACGGCGCGCTGGTGGGCGTTCCCTTCTACAAGGATGCCTACCACGAGGAGTTGGACAAGTCCCAGTGGGGATTGATCCGAGTTCCCAGGATGACCAACTACAAAGGCGGCATCTGGGCGACCTGGGACCCCAACGCGCCTGACTTCCTCGAATACATCGGCGGTTTCCGCACCTACCTGGACATCCTCTTCGACGGGTGGGATGGCAGCGAGGGCGGCACCGAGGTCATCGGCGGCATCGAGAAGTGGATGGTTCCCAGCAACTGGAAGTTCCCCGCTGAAAACTTCATTGGCGACCGCTATCACAACATCAGTCACCGCTCGGTCGACTTGGTGGGCATCGGCCCGTCGGGACAGGGACGGCGGGACAACAGCGACCGGGAGGGGGCCAAGTCGCTGGACGTGTCCTTCCCGGAACGAGGCCATGGGACCGTCATGTTCCTTCGACCCGAAGATGCCCAGCCCGTTCAGTCCTACCAGAATGATCCGGTCGTCTCAGAGTATTTTTACCAGTGCGAGATTGCGCGCAAGGAACGCCAGGGCCAGCTTTGGCGCATATTGGCCGGACCGGGCACGATCTTCCCCAACATGTCATTCCTGCCGCGGCAACCACGCAGCATCGCCGTGTGGCATCCCCGCGGCCCCGACCAGACCGAGGTCTGGCGCTGGTTCTTGGTGGACAGCGCGGCGCCGCCGGAAGTCAAGGAGTTCCTGCGGCAGTACTACATCCGGTACTCCGGCCCCAGCGGGCTCACCGAACAGGACGACATGGAGAACTGGAACTACGCCCACGCCGCCAGCCGGGGCGCCATGGCTCGCCGGCACCACTACAACTACCAGATGGGCCTGGGTTACGCGGTCACCGATTTCGAGGACGGCGGGTTGAAACTTCCCGGCACCGTTCTGGACACCACCAAGGCGCGGGCCGGCGAACAGAACCAGCGGGGCTTCTACAGTCGCTGGCGGGAATTCATGGCCGCGCGCGACTGGGACGAGTTGGCCTCCTGGCGCAACAACGGCTCGGCCTGCTAGGTGCCATGATGGTGGTTGCCAACGACCCGCTGGCAATGTTGCTGCTCAAGCAGGATGTGGAGACGTTTCTGTACCACGAGGCCAACCTGCTGGACGACCGGCGGTACGAGGAATGGCTGGACCTGCTCGCGGACGACATCCGCTACTGGGTTCCCATGCGCCGCAACGTCAAGTTTGGCGAGTTGGAGCGCGAGTTCACCCGGGAGGGCCAGGACATCAACTGGTTCGACGAGGGCAAAACAACGCTGACGCAGCGGGTCCGTCAGATCCTGACCGGCGTGCACTGGGCTGAGGAACCGCTGTCTCGGATCTCCCACCTGGTGACCAACGTGGAGGTCACCGACGCCAAGCCTTCCGCCGCGGATGCCACGGAGGTGTCGCTGCGCTGCCGGTTCATCATCTACCGCAACCGCGTCGCCACCGAGACCGACATACTTGTGGGCCGGCGGGAAGACGCCCTGCGGCGGGTCGACGGGGAGTGGCGGATCGCCCAGCGGCAGGTCTTCCTCGACCAGAACGTGCTCCTCGCCAAGAACTTGACCTTCTTCTTCTGATTCTGTCGTGTTCCCTGGGTCTGCGAGAGTCCTGGAATGACACTGACGACGCCAGCCGGCGCGACCAACGACGGTGCACCAGCGACGCTTGGGGTTCCAGATCCTCACGCCGTTGCGGTTGCGCAGGCCGTGTGCCGGCAGGTGGAAGCGGCGCAAGTGTACCTGTTCGGTTCCCGGGCGCGCGGCAGCTACGATGCCAACTCCGACATCGACCTTGCCATCATCACCACGGATCCGGTTCCAGAGGACCGTCGGCTCACCATCGACGGCATAGCCGAGCAGGTGGCGATTGCCCTCCACCCCGATTCGCCAGCGGCGGACCTGTCGTTCTTGACTGTCACCGAGCTCTTACGCGAAAGGGTCAAGAAGAACACGCTGGCCAACTCCATTGCGAAAGAGGGAAAGCCGATTATGGACGGCAGTACCGCCGGCCGAGACGCAGAGTTCGCGGAAGAAGCCGTCGACTGGGCTGACGTTGACGCCAGGGTTACGAGCGCGCGGGAAGCGCTAACAGACTTGGAAGTGCTGTCATCGGATGCTCGGTCATCAGACAGGACAATAGGCTACGTCGCGCAGCAGGCGTTGGAACACGCATACAAAGCCCTCATCGCGGCACACGGCGAGGCATATCCCACCGGCGGCCGGGATGGCCACAACCTGCGGATACTGGCGGGCAGGGTTCAGGAGGTCATGGGCCAGGATTTCCAGGTTCCCGGCGCGCGCTGGCAGAGCCTTACCGCGTATGCCGGTGGCGGGCGGTATCAGGATGACCAGCCACCTCTGGGCGACCGGCAAAGACTGTCCCGCGAAATATCCGCCGCGGTAACCGATATAATCGGTCGCGTTCCGCAACGTGACCAATCGTAAACGATCAGGAAGCAGAGCCATGGCAGACATCGTGAACCTGTTTGAAGTGGAGCCGGGCCAGAAGCTGCGGCTGTATAGCGAAGCCACCGCCGAGGTGGTCTCCAACCCTCGTGACGGCGTGTGGCTGTTCGTGCGCTACCTGACCAGTCCCGAGGACCCTGACCAGGTGGGCGAGGAGGACATGGTCTTCGCTCAGGACGTGCTGGAGCTCGTGTCCGACTAATACCCATGGCGGACGCACAGGTGAACATTTCCGGCGGCGCGCCTCCGGCGGTTCCTGAGGCCGATGATATTCTGGCCGCGCTGCGGGCCGGCTACCGGTCCATTGACGAAGGCTACGGGTTCTATCCCGGTTTCGACGGTTGGTTGGCGTCTCTCGGTTACCAGAGGCGGGAAGACATACCCTGCACCTGTCCCGACCGCGGCTACCGGGGCCACCTCCCGGAGTGCCGCTGGGTGCGATGACCGTGGGCCGCGGCAGCCGGCCGGTGCGGATCACAACTAAACAAGCGCGCCGACGGCGCGAGTTTCAATTTTGGAGTAGTGAAGATGTCCCAACAGATGGTTGATCTGATGGAAACGGTATGGAAGTCCATTGATGGGTTGTGCGGAGCGCTGACCCAGGAGCAGTGGTCCTTGCCTACCGAGTGCCCCGGTTGGTCGGTGCAGGACCAGGTGTCTCACCTGGTCGGCAGTGAATGCCGGATACTGGGCCGGCCGGCGCCGGCGCACGAACCATCGGACACCTCCCATGTGCGCAACGAGGTTGGGCAGGGCAACGAGGTGCTGGTGGACTACCGCCGGCAGTTCAGCGGGGCCGACGTGCTGGCCGAGTTTCGTGAGATCACCGCCGAGCGTCTGGGCGTGCTGCGCGGGATGTCGGAAGCCGACTTCGCCGTGGAAACTCCCAATCCCCTGGGAAGCGGTCCCTACACTGATCTTCTGGCCGTCCGCATCTACGACGCCTGGGTCCACGAGCAGGACATGCGGCGCACCCTCGGCATTCCGGGTCATTTGAGCGGCGCAGTGGCCGAGCACGCTTACGGGCGCACCCAAGCAGCGATGCCCTTCGTGGTCGGCCGCAAGGTGAAGCCCGATGACGATACGACGGTGGTGTTCGAAATCACCGGCGACGCGGGCGGTACGATCGTCCTGAACATGGACGGCGGGCGGGCGAACAGGATGGATCCCGCACCAAACTCCCCAACGGTGCGGCTTACCATGGGACTGGAGCCGTTCAACGCGCTGGGAACGGGCCGCTGGTCAGCCGAGCACGCCTTGGGCAACGGCTCAGTGGCAATCGACGGCGACCGCGCACTGGGCGAACGCATCGTCGCCGAGATGAACTTTATGATTTAAGGGACACAGCGTCGTACAACCTCATTTGGGCCACCACCTATGCCGAAAGTTAGGGATGCCATTCGGCTGGTTGAAGCAGATGGTTGGCAACAAGTTCGCACACGGGGTAGCCACCGCCAATTCAAGCACCCAGAGAAAGCAGGAACTGTCACCATAGCCGGCCATCCGGGAGATGACGTGGCGCCGGGAACTTGGCTGAGCATTCTTCGCCAGGCCGGACTGAGGGAGGAAAACCGATGAAGCTGCAATACGCGGTGGTATTCGAGCGGACACCCAACAACTACTGCGCCTATGTGCCGGACCTGCCGGGTTGTATTGGCACAGACCGCACATGGGAAGGGATACAAGACCAGATACGTGACGCCATCGCTTTCCACATTGAGGGTTTGCGGGAAGATGGCGAAACCGTGCCCGAGCCGCGAATGTCGGTGGCAGACGCCGCAGCCTATCACTCGGATAGCGCCGTCCCTTCGGCCGAATGGCTCGAAACGTCGGAACTGGTCGCGGTAGTTGCCGTGGAGGCGGAACTCGGTGCCGCGCCAGCGGTGGCAACGGATCGCTGATGCACGAAGGAACCAATATCAACATGCCTACTCGCGCACCGGGATGGCAATGCCCTTTGTGGTCGGCCGCAAGTTCGGGCCCGCGACGGTACGACGGTGGTATTTGAGATCACTGGCGACGCGGGTGGCACGACAACGCTGAATATGGACGGCGACCGCGCCAGCCGCATATACGCGGTGCCCGACTCGCCCACGGTGAAGCTCACCATGGGCCTGGAGCCCTTCAACGCGCTGGGCATCGGCCGCTGGACAGCCGAGCACGCCCTGGGCAACGGCTCAGTGGCAATCGATGGTGACCGGGCACTGGGTGAGCGGATTGTAGGTAAGATGAATTTTATGATCTGAAGGCGAGTGCTATCATTGGTCTAGGTCGAGGTGAGATCATGGCGATGGCATTTGCTGACCCGCGCGGACGAATCCCTGGCGGCGGAATGGGCTGCCGCCGAATGGCCGGCGCAGGGCTACGAGGTCTTGCTGGTTTGCGACACCACCGGTGCCAGCCCCGGAACTCCGTGGGCGGTTTTTTGCCCCTCCATGGATGTGGTCAGCAACGGCCGTGACCCTCAGGATGCGCTCAATATGATTGCCGATGCCATCTACGAAGCGCTGACGGATCGCGTAACGGCGGCGAAAGGCGACGCATATGATGAAGTCGTCGGTTATTTTCAAGAGCTGATGGCGGCCGGATATCCCACGGTAGAAGCGGTAGTGAGCCCGGCGCAGTACGAGTGGGAGTAGTTATGCCAACCGCAGACAACAGCGAAGAACTTTACGAAGTCATCATCATCGAGTCCGGCAAAGACTACGCCGTGCTATGCCCCGGCATACCCGGCGCCGTGTCACAAGGCGCTGACCGGGAGGAAGCTCTGAAGATGATTGCCGATGCCATGGCGATGGCGCAAATGTACCCGCTGCCCGGCGACGACACCGAACCTCGCCGGACAGAGTTGCGCGAGTTGGGGAAAGCCCGCATTGCAGAACTGGTCGCAGAGTGCGAGCAAGAGGGCCTGGAGTATTACGTGTGCGAGGTTGCGCCGCGGCTGATAAGACCGTGGCTGGCAGTCGGATAACCTATGCCGCCGTACATACCGGGGATAAGCCGGCGGGTACTGGTGCGGATCTTGCGCCGGCTCAATTTCAGCGAGACCGAAGGCGGCGACCATACCGTGTTCCGACATCGGCGATTGGGGCTGATAACAGAATTACCGAGGCACAGCGGAGAAGTGTCCCCCAGAACGGTCGGGGCCATAATCGAGCAAATTGGGTTGACCCGTGCGGAGTTTGACGAGGCTCGCCGGCGTCGCGGGCGGATACCGGAACGGTTTCGGGACTGATCGGTCCGCAGCAAGCGGGAATGACGGAGGAAGACCGATGCCGCCGGGATTTTCGGTGATGTTCGAGCGGACGCCCAACAGCCATTGCGCATATGTGCCGGATTTGCCGGTTTGCATCAGCATGGGCCACATCTGGGAGGCGATACAGTAGGAGATACGTAACGCCATCACATTTCACATTGCCGGTTGATGCGAGGACGGCGAGACCATACGCGAGCCGCGATTGTCGGTTGCAGACGCCGCAGACTATCACAGCCAAAACGTGGCCCCCTCCACTGAATAGCCTGAGGCGACGGAACTGGTTGCTGTGATAGCCGTGGAAACGGACGTTGGCATGGGGCCAGTAGCGGCGCCCATTGTTGATGCGTAAGTGAACTTAGGCGCAGTGCCGGCTGACAGGTCGGTGGCGATTGACTGCGTCCGGGCGCTGGGAGAGCGGATAGTGGGCGAGATGAACTTTATGATCTGAACGGTGCGAATCGCACCATTGTCCGATAGCGAAGTGCATTCAAGGCTTTGTTCCTGTTACCTCGCTCAGCCGAAACGTTGGCCGCGGCGTGGGCCGACCACGCTCCAGCGGATGGCGGTGCGAAGTCCCGCTCGATCCTGGCACAGAGCGCCAGTCTCCGCACTCTATGGACGTTTTCCCGCCCGTCTACAGATATGGGTAGCCCGGGCGGATGTTCTTCACATCATGCTGATGCCACTCAAGAGGCGCTAGCGTACGGATTTAGGCCGGTCCTTGATCGAGCTAACGAATGGCTTAGTTTCCCTATAAGGATCGGTGGATGCTGTATGCGCCATCCTGTCCGTCGTGGAATGGCACCGTCGTATGGAACGGTCCAGTGAGTAGCAATCCGTTGTGCGCCGAATTGCGGCCATATCGCTTCTATACGGATACGAACGACCATAGGATATCAAATAATATGATTGGCGCGGCGGCGCATTGAATTTGCCATATGCCCGTGTTAGCTCTCGTCTATAGCGGGCATAGTTGACTGGCACTGAGGTGCACGCTATCATAGGCAATGACTCAATTGTTGGAGGCATGCCTATGACCGGGCTAGGATATACAACTCACAATCAGCCGTCGCTCGATTCGGCGGGCATTTTGCCGCGAGACGCCAAAGATATCGCGGTGCGTGAGTGGCATCGGCTGACCGACGATTTGGCGCGTGTTCGTGCGGAGATCGCGGAACTGCGTTCACAAGAGCACGCGCTCGAGGCTCAAGTAGAAGCTTGGAATGTGATCCTTTCGGCCGGTGGCAGCGGAACCAATAGCGACGGCGATGTCAGCGAAAGCCATGCAACTGAAGACAATGCCACGCTAGCAACGCCGCAGGAATCTGCTGATGCAGTAGTCGATTTGCTCCGCGAAATCGGAGAGCCGATGCACTATAGTTTGATCTACGACACTCTGCGTAGTCGCGGTATGGAGGTGCGAGGGAAAAACCCGCCCAGCGTGTTGCTAGCGCGTTTCTTTGGCGATGCGCGCCTGGAGCGTGTGGGCCAAGGGACTTACCAAATCAAAGCTGCTGAGGAGGTGCAGGAAAACGAATAGACGCGGAAAACAAAATGCCCCGACTAGTGGTGGAAAGCGAGCCGGGGCGTGACGGCGCACCTCAAACACTCGAGCATTCAAGGAGGTCGTAGTGACCAAGGTACATGATTCCGAGAAAAACGACAACCAGACCAGCTTCACCGCAGCCATTGGCAAGGGCCCGGCACGCCCGACTCGCTTCGGGACGGCGATCGATGTTTTTCGTATCGATGGCGGCAAACGGGAATGGGGCGATTTGGTCCCTACCAACCCTGAATTGTTGCCTCAACTTTGCTGCGGCCAATGTATCGAGGTGGTTGACGTAGAGATTGTCACAGATTGGTACCGTACAATGTGGCGCGGGAAAATTAAGATCCTAGAGCAATAGCCGGGCGAATCACTACAACCCTGTCTCCGGCCCCGCCACCCGCTATAATGGCCCCAAAGCCAGCATTCGGGCGGCGGGGCCGCTTTCATTTAACGGGGGAGGTTCAGCATGGAGATTGGCGTTTCGGTTCCCATTGTTGAGATTGGGGACGACTTTGGCGCGCTGCGCGATTACATCCAGGCCGCCGAGGATTTGGGGTATGCGCACGTGCGCATCCTGGACCACGTGCTCGGCGCGGTGCCGGAGAAGCATCCGGAGGTGCCGCAATTCCCCTACACCCACGAGTCGTATATCCACGAGCCCTTCACGCTCATGGCCTACCTGGCCGCGGTCACGAAGAAGATCGGTCTGACCACGGGCATCTTGATCCTGCCCCAGCGTCAGACGGCGCTGGTGGCCAAGCAGGCGGCCGAGGTTGACGTGCTATCCGGCGGGCGGGTGCGACTGGGCATCGGCGTGGGCTGGAACTCGGTGGAGTACGAGGCGCTGGGTGTGGACTTCGCCACGCGGGGCAGCCGCTGCGACGAGCAGATCGAGGTGCTCCGCCAGCTATGGACCGAGGACGTGATCGACTACCACGGCAAGTACCATGACATCACCCACGCCGGCATCAACCCGCTGCCGGTGCAGCGGCCCATCCCCATCTGGATCGGGGCCGGTCGGGGCAATGCGCCCACGCCTCCGAACGCCGCGATCCGGCGCATCGGCCGGCTCGCCGACGGCTACTTCCCAATGTTCGCTCCCGACTCCAACGGCCAGGCGATCCTGGGGCGCATCCGCGCGCAGGCCGAGGCCGCCGGGCGTGACCCGTCGGAAGTGGGCTTCGAGGGCCGCATAACCATTACCGCCGACAATAACCCCGAGGACTGGCTCACCGAGCTGAAGTCCTGGGAAGAGATCGGGGCTTCGCACATTGCGGCTGGGCTGCGCGGTGCGGCCTCTCCCGACGCGCACATCGACGCCATCCGCCGGCTGAAGGACGCCATGGGGTGATCTCACTGGACTTCTCTCGACCGAGCAGGCAACGGGGCATGGCGGGTTAGCTGATGCGACCGGTGCGTGAAAACATGCCCCACGGATTCCGGAGGTCGGCCAGCTCGAATCGGGACCGTCCCAGCCGGCGCGTTCCTCACCTGAACCGGCGGATCGCTGGCTCCTTCCAACCTTATTGGCCGCGCGTCCTGACCATCGGCCTCCTGATACTGGTTACCGCCGGCCTGGGTGTGGTCAACCCGATCCTGATCCGGGTGGTGTTCGACTCCGCCCTCTTCGCGGACGGTGGCCCCAACCTGCCGCTGCTCTGGACCCTGGCCACCGTCATGGCCACGGTCGTCGTGGTGACGGGAAGCCTGGGCGTGCTGCAGACCTGGCTCACCCAGCAGGTGGGCCAACGCGTGATGCGCGACCTGCGCGACCGCTTGTACTCGCACCTGCAATCGCTTTCGCTGGGCTTCTTCACCTCCCAACGCACCGGCGAGATCCAGAGCCGCGTCTCCAACGACGTGGCCGGCATCCGCGTGGTGGTGACGGGCACCGTCAGCAACATCCTGTCCAACGTGGTCATCCTCATCAGCACGCTGGTGGCCATGGCCGTGTTGTCGTGGGAGTTGACGGTGGTGGCCGCGGGCATTACCCCAATTTTCGCGGTGTTCAGCTACCTGGTGGGAAAACGCCGGCGCGCGGTCTCGGCGAGGGTGCAGGAGTCCACCGCGGAGATGACCGCGATCACCCAGGAAACCCTGTCGGTGTCCGGCGTCATGCTCACCCGGCTGTTCGGGGCGCAGAACCGCGAGGTGGCCCGCTTTCCACGATCAGAACGTGCATCTGTCTGACCTGGAGATACGTCGTGAGATGACTGGTCAGACCGTGTGGGCTGGCATGCAGATCTTCTTCTCGCTGACCCCCGTGGTCGTGTACGTGCTGGCCGGCTACCTTCTCTTCGGCGGGATCGGCCAGGCCGCGATAACCGCCGGCACCCTCGTCGCCTTTACCACCCTGCAAACTCGGCTGTACTTCCCCATCAGCACCCTGCTGCGTACCTCGGTGGAGCTGCAATCGTCCCTGGCGCTGTTCGAGCGCATCTTCGGCTACCTGGACATCCGACCCGATATCCTCGACGCGCCGGACGCGGTGGACCTGCCGGCTGAGATGGTCACTGGTGCGGTGGCCTTGCGGGGCGTGCGCATGAACTATCACCCGGCAACGCTGCTGGCGGATGCCTACGACCTCGAGGACGACGGGCAGGAATTCTGGGCCCTGGATGGCGTGGACCTGGACGTCAAGCCCGGCCAGTTGGCGGCCCTGGTGGGACCCAGCGGCGCCGGCAAGACCACCATTTCGTACCTGATACCGCGTCTATACGACTCCACCTCCGGCACGGTCAGCATCGATGGGGTGGACGTGCGCCGCATCAGGTTGGAGAGCCTGGCCCGCATCGTTGGGTACGTCTCCCAGGAGAGCTACCTGTTCCACGCGTCCATCCGCGAAAACCTCCTCTACGGAAACCCCGACGCCACCGAACAGCAGTTGCACGAGGCCGCCAGAGCAGCCTACATCCACGACCGCATAGTGGAGTTCCCCGAGGGGTACGACACCGTCGTCGGCGAACGCGGCTACCGGCTATCCGGCGGCGAGAGGCAGCGGCTGTCCATTGCCCGCGTAATTCTGCACGACCCGCGCTTGCTCATCCTGGACGAGGCAACCTCGTCTCTGGACACCACCAGCGAGCGGTACGTGCAAGCCGCGCTGGCGCCGCTCATGCAGGGGCGCACCACCATCGCCATCGCGCATCGCCTCTCCACCATCATTTCGGCCGACGTCATCTTCGTCGTCGACCGCGGCCGCGTCGTGGAGCGGGGCACACATGCGGAATTGCTCGCCCGGGGTGGGTTGTACGCCCAGCTGTACGAAGAGCAGTACGAGGGCGGAAGGGTCGAATACGTCAGCGAGGACGGAGTGACCGTCCTGACCGGCGGCAACCTGCGCCTGCCCGTGCCGGCGTGAACAAACAACTACACCAGGAGAATGTAATGAGTCAGCAAGGCAATGGCGCCAGGGTCCGGTTGCGGGTGGCTTTCCGCAATATGTTCTACACGACGATATACGTCGCCGTCGAGGGCGGGTTTCTGGCCGAACAGGGCTTGGATGTGGACTTCGCCCACGTCCCTGCCGGTCAAACCAGCACCGACCTGCTCAAGGCCGGCGACATCGACATCACCCAGAGCGGCATCAGCCGCAGTTTCATGGACCTCGATGCCGGCAGCGCGGACCCGCCGATCCACATCGCCGAGATCAACCAGCGGGATGGGTTCTTCCTGCTGTCAAAGCGGCCCACCGACGGCTGGCGCTGGGCCGACCTCGCCGGCGCGACGCTCATTCCCGTCGGTTTCACGCCGGTTCCCTACACCACGCTGCAGGCCGCGATGCGCTGGCACGGCGTCGACCCGGCCAGCGTCAACCTGATGGGCGGCCTGTCCGCCGAAGAGATGTTGGGCCGGTTCCGCAACGGCGACGCCGACTACCTGCAGGTTCCCAACCCCTTCGCGGTGCAACTGGTCACCGAAGGCTCCGGCCACTTGGCGGCGACCCTGGGCAACGAGAGCGGCTACGTGTGCTACAGCAGCTTCGCAGTCACGCCGTCGTACCTGGCCGATAACCCCGACACGATGCAGCGTTTCGTGAACGGCTACGCCCGCGCTCAACGCTGGGTCGCCGAGAGCCCCGCTGAAGCAGTCGCCGACCGGATCGCCCCCGTGTTCCCAGAATACGACCGCAACGTCCTCGCCGAAGGAGTGCAGCGGTACAAGGACGCCGGCGTGTGGGCCACCGACCCGACGATCACCCGTCATGGGTTCGACCGGATGCGCGACGCACTCATCTCCGGCGGCCTCGTGCGCGACCCCCATCCCTACGAGTCCATCGTGCGTCCCGAGTTCGCGGAGCGGGCGGTGGCCGCATTGGCCTGATTTAGCCCGTCGTCGTATGATGTTAGGAAGTCGAACGTCTGATTGCGCCGGGGTCGTAGGAAGGTCATTGATGAGCGTGACGCGAGTCAGCATTCTCTTTTTGGGGCTGGTGGCGATCTTGATCCTGGGGACTTGGGGCTGGACCGAATTAGCCAACGCAGTGTACAGAGCTCCAATGCGGGCGACGCCGTGGTGGCGTTGATGATTTACGGGGTGGCCGGCTTGGTCTTCGCGGTTGTTGCTGGATACACATTCTTTGTGCTCTGGTTCCGCAACGATGACCTCGGCTGAGGCATCACGACTGAAACGGTCGTATGAACGAAATCTAAACTGGTGCCGATTCTGGTTGGGGATCAGCCTGGCGGTCGCCACGCTAACTGTTCACGTTCGCCGTGAACCAGGTCTTCAAGCCGCTCATCGAGCGTCAGCACCGGTCCCACCATGTATTGATGAACAGTGATCAGGCGAAAAACAGCCAGCTGAACCGATCAGCTTTGCAAATGTCGCCGTGATGTTGATGCTGGTCGGGATTTCCGGCCTGTGCGTTGCATCGTTATCTGCGCTATTTCAGAGTGTTGTTCCGATAGACGACGCATGCTGCTGCGTCAGCAACACGGAGCGAGGGCATCAGGAGGCTACGACATGAGGCTGGAAGGCAAGGTTGCAATCATCACCGGGGGCGCGCGCGGGCAGGGCGCCACCGAGGCCAGGATGTTCGCCCAGGAAGGCGCCAGCGTGGTCATCGGCGACGTGCGGGATGAACTGGGGATGCAGGTGGAGGCCGAGATACGGGAGTTGGGCGGCGAGGCAGTCTACCTGCACCTGGACGTGACTAGCAACGACGACTGGCAGCGCGCCATCGACACCGCCGAGCAGCAGTTCGGCAAGGTGGACGTGTTGGTGAACAACGCGGCCATCGTTCTGCGCAAGGACATCGAGGAAACCACCTCCGAAGACTGGGACAACATCATGGACATCAACGCCAAGGGTGTGTTCCTGGGGACCAGGGCGGTGATACCGGCCATGCGTCGGGCCGGCGGCGGCAGCATCATCAACATCTCCTCCATCAGCGGCCTGGTGGCCATCGGCCCGCCGGCCTACATCGCCACCAAGGGGGCGGTCCGCCTGTTCACGAAGTCACGGCCATCCAGTACGCTTCTGAAAACATCCGCGCCAACTCCATACACCCGGGCAGCGTGGACACCGACATGCGCCGGGAGGGCCTGGGTAGCCAGACGCCCGACGAGATACAGGCGCGCGTCGACAACATCCCGCTGGGCCGCGTAGGCACCACCGAGGACATTGCCTACGGAGTCCTCTTCCTCGCTTCGGACGAATCTTCCTTCATGACCGGCAGCGAAGTCGTCATCGACGGCGGCTACACCGCCAAGTGAGGTTGCACAGATGACCACCTTGCCTCAGCAGTCCCTGGCGGCGGTGACCACCGCCCCCAACGTGATGGAACTGCGACGCCTGGAAATCCCCGAAATCGGCGACGACGAAGCCATCGTCCGCATTGAAGCCACCGGCATCTGCGGCACCGATTACGAATGGTTCCGTGGCGACCTGGACATTCCGTATCCCATCATCCTGGGACATGAGCCCTTGGGTCGCATTGCCTCCATCGGGCCTGCCGCCACCGAGCGCTGGGGTGTATCCGTGGGAGACCGCGTGGCGGTGCGCTCCGGCTACCGATGCGGCAGGTGCGCCGCCTGCACGGCCGGCGGAACCGACCCGTGCCCCACCGGCGGCGGGTTTGGACAGACTGGATTGGACAAGTCCCCCGGTCTCTGGGGCGGCTACTCTGAGTATCTGTACCTACCGGCCGGCTCCGTGGTGTTTCCCATGGACGGCGATCTGGATCCGGCGGTGGCGGTCATGTTCAACCCGCTGGGCGCCGGTTTCGCCTGGGGCGTGGACGCCACCGGACTGCAACCGGGCCAGACCCTGGCGGTGCTGGGTTCGGGACAGCGGGGCATCTGCTGCGCCATTGCGGCCAAGGAATCCGGGGCCGGCATGGTCGCCATCACCGGCCTGGGCCGGGACGAGCACAAGCTGGCCTTGGCCCGCGATATGGGCGCCGACATCGCGATCAACGTGGACGGCGAGGACCCCGTGGAGCGGGTGTTGGCCGCCACCGGCGGCGCCGGGGTGGACTGCGTGGTCGACACGACACCCTATGCTGTACAAGCGGTGAACCAGGCGATCCAGATGGTGAAGCCCGGTGGCACGGTAGTGCTGGCCGGCCTGAAAGGACGCCGTGCGTTCGAAGGCCTGTCACCCGACGACATCATCTGGAAGAAGGTCACTCTTCGCGGCGTCCTGGGCGTGGAGTATTCTGCGTTCCGCCGCGCCGTGGACACCATCCACTCGCGTAAGTACCCCATGGAACGCCTGCACACCCACAGCTTCCCCATCGAACAGGCCGAGCGGGCCCTGGCCACGCTCAGCGGTGAGGCGGGGCTGCCGAGCATCCACGTGGCGATCGTGCCGGATGCCTAGGCTTGGCGCGGTTCCGAGCGTGCGCCGACTGCGGCAGGCGTATCCGAAGTAACTACGCTCGCTGTTACAACTGCAACCTGCGTTGCCGGCGCGGTCATTGGCACGACCCTGAAGACCTGGAGGGACAGGAAGAGCGTGACGCGGAACTCGGGCGCACCGAGTTCTACGTGTACGTTCTGGGCACGTAATATGGGCACTACGTTGGACACACGGCCAGCGTAGGAGCCAGGCTCGGCGCACATCGTGCCGGCGAGGTTGAGCCGACCGCCGGAGGCGAGCCCGAGATCCTCCAGCGCTCTCGTCCTTTTCGTTCCCGGCGTGACGCGGCTCGGTTTGAGGTGGCGATGAAACCGCTGCGAGACCAGTGGGCGGAGCGGTCCCAGCAGATCACCGGGTTGGCTCCGGTCCCCCCTTGATGATGGTGGAGTTGGGGAGCCGCAACACGCCGGGTCCAATCGCGGCGGCTGTGGATTGTTCAGCCTGGTTGTGATAACAATAGCCGCCACTGCACTTCTTTTGGCATTCGCACTCTTTTAGGAGTCTCCCATGGCCGCATATCATGCCGACACCGTCATCCGCCGCGCCAACGTCATCACCATCGATCCCAACCTACCGAGGGCCACCGCGGTTGCCATGCGCGACGGACGCTTCATCGGCGTGGGCAGCGACTCCGACCTGGAAACGCTCGTCGGGCCGAACACCAAAATAATCGAGCTGCCCGGCAAAACGGTGCTGCCCGGCTTCATCGACGCGCACATCCACGTCCTCAGCAGCGGCACGCGGCACGTTATGGCGGCGGACTGCTCGCTACCCACCATCGGTGACATCCAGGATGCGCTGCGGGAACGGGTTGCGGTTGCGCCGGCCGGCCAGTGGGTCCAGGGTTTCAAGTTTGACGACACCAAGACCGCCGAGAAAACCGCTTCCTGCGCCGGGAAGACCTGGACGCCGTCAGCACCGACCATCCCATCTTGGTGCCCATCGTGCGGGTCACGTGTACTACGGCAACTCGCTGGCGCTGGAACGGGCGGATTCAACGACGAAACCGAGGATCCTCCGGGCGGTCGGCTGGGACGGCATGCGGACACGGGTCGGCTGGATGGAGTGATCTACGAACGCGCCGCCGATGACCTGCGGGAAAACCAGCTGCCGGTCGAGTCCGCCGAGACGCGGCGCGAGGGCCTGCGCGTCATCTGCGAGATGCTGAACCGCGCCGGTTTGACCAGCGTGCACGACGCCCGCGTCACCGACTACGAACTCCGCACCTACCAGGAAGGCCGCGACGCCGGCGATCTGACACTGCGAGTCTACGCCCTGATGTGGAACCGCTACTTCCCCGCCCTGCGCGACGCCGGTATTCGCTCCGGCATGGGCGACGACCGGCTCCGCATCGGCGGGATCAAAATGGTCGCCGACGGAGCCATAGCCTCGCGGACCGCCTACCTGTCCGAGCCTTACGTGGGCAGTTGCTGCGACCACGGCATCCTCACCATGACCGGCGACGAGATCGCGGGCAACGTGATGGAAATGCACGCCGCCGGCTTCCAGGTCTGCATCCACGCCAACGGCGATTCCACGATTGACCTGGTGCTCCAGGCCTACGAGGCGGCGCAGAAGGCGCATCCGCGACCCGACCCGCGCCATCGCATCGAACACTGCACGCTGGTCAACCCCGACCTGCTGAACCGCATGAACAGCCTCGGCACAGTGGCGACGCCATTTTGCACCTACGTGTACTACCACGGAGAGAAGATGCAGTTCTACGGCGAGGAGCGGCTCCAGTGGATGTTTGCCCAGCGCTCGTTCATGGACTACGACGTCTTGTCCACCGGCGCCACCGATTACCCGCCCGGTCCCTTCGAGCCCCTGATGGGCATCCAGAGCTGCGTCACCCGCACCGACAGCGATGGCCGGGAGTGGGGAACCAACCAGCGCATCTCCGTGGAGGACGCCCTGCGCATCTACACGCTGAACGGAGCCTACGCCGGCTTCGAGGAAAACCTCAAGGGCAGCATCGAGGTGGGCAAGCTGGCTGACCTCGTGGTGCTCGGCGAGGACCCCACGGTCATAGACCCCTTCGGCATCAAGGACATCACCGTGGAACGCACCATCGTCGGCGGGAAGACCGTTTACGAGGGTTAGGTGAGGATTACGGAGCTGGCGGGTCTATGGTGATGGATTAAATGCATGCCACGCAAAATGTGACCATCGATGCGTTTGGACGGTGAGAGCGTAAACATGGATCGACAAATTTCGGAAATAACAATTCCAATTGGCGTACCGGATGTACACGGCGACGTTTTCGCTCGGAGCGTTTTTGAAAGCGACGGTAATGATTTAACTGATTCAACCCCAACGGTTTTGCCTGTAAGGCCAGAACATGATGAACGGTGTGCTCCGCTAGGAAAAATTGTCGCCCGCACGGTAAGCATCGGCAAAACAGGCGGGCATGAAATTGGGATAATACGCTCTGAAATTTATTGGGGAGACATCGAAAAGCACTCGAATGGCTATTTGTGCGTTTTCCCTGAAGATCAGCGCCTTTTTGAACTGGCCAACGAAGTAAACGAAATTGCGGTTGATCGTGCAAACTTCGATCCCCCAGAACTCGATCGATTCCTGCATGATACGCGAGCGATATTCCCTGAACGATCGGTAGAGTTTGTTGGACGGAAAGCCATTGAGGCAGAACCCGTGTTGTGGCTTTCAGCGACGCTGACATTGCTACTGTTTGCAAAGAAAATCCCGATAGTGGGACCTGCCATAACTGCTGCCGAGGAAGCGATCATCGAAGAGTTGGAAGTCAAAGAGCGTGTCAAAAAGCTAATCCGAGCTTTCGGGAGGCGGGTCCGCAATAAAGACGCATCGGTGGAAGCGGCGTTTCGAGAAAATGGCGTGCAAATCGTGCTGATAGCCAGCATAGATGAAATGGCTGACGCCATCGACCAAGGCAGCGATTTTTTGTTGCGTCACGCCGCTGTGATGAGAGATGCGGCCGCCGTTCAATTTGCTCGACTGAACGGGGAATGGGAGTTTCAGTGCGCTATACTGAAGTCCGGAAACGTGTTAATGTCCGAAGAATGTTATCGTCGTACGCTGATTCAACTGACGAACGCCGGAAACATCATTTACCCAGAGCAATTTCAACATTTGAGCGTCGTAACCGACTTTCCTGCAGACCAGGCGAGTGGCCATGCCGATGCCCGGTTCGTCGCGCCGAATGGGAACGTAATTCTCAATCGCAAGGTATTTATCGAGAAAACCGGCAGTTCATATTCGATGTTCGATGAGAATGGCGACACAATCGGGGAGATCGGGGTGTCACCTCAGGATCGGCAATAGTTCTGTGTGCCGATGGACAGGGGTATTCGCGTGGCGTCTGTGCCAACGATCGTAAGTGCAACGATTCTGTGGTGACTGGTCAGTGCTCGCCTCCCAGAGTGTCGATCTGGCGATATTCCCCGTCGTGGCCGATAACGGTCAGAAATACTGAATCGGACCCTTGGTTGTCGTCCGGCCCGTATTGCAGTTGCATCCCGTCAATGTCTATCGCTTCGGGACTGTGCAGGGCGTTGATGAAGCACTCACGGCTGAGGTCGCGGCCGCACCCTGCCAGCCCTGCAATGGCCAGCCGCCCGGCCAGGTAACCCTCCAGCGAAACGAAGCTCGGGGTCGATGCCTGGTCGTAGGCAGCCAGAGCGGCCTGGTATTTGGCGACGACGGGTATGGTGGCGTCATCCGGGGAAGGGACCACCTGGGTGACGTAGATGCCGGCGCCGTCCGGTCCCAACGCTTCCGCCAGCGCCTTGCTGCCCACGAATGAGATCGCTATGAATACCGGGTCTATCTCCTCGCGCACGGCTTGGACCGTCTTCGCCACCGGAGTGTATGCGCCGACCATGATAACCGCTTCTGGATCGGCTTCCACGATGTGGAACACGGCGCCGGTGGTCGCACCGGTGTTACGTTCGTAATACCCCGACGCCGTCGGCTCCAAACCACGCCGCTCCAGAGCGAGAGTAGCCCCTTCCAGTCCGGCCTGGCCGAAGGAATCGTTCTGGTAGAAGACGGCGATCCGCGTGAACCCGAGATCATCGGTGAGGCGAGCCACCATCTCCTCGGTTTCCTGATAATAAGACGCCCGCAGGTTCAGGACGTTGTCCAGTTGCGGGTCGCGCAAGAATTCGGCTCCGGTGAACGGAGCAAGGAACGGTACTCCGGCCGAATTCGCCGGGAGAAAGGCGGCGCGGGAGGTGGGAGTTCCTACCGCTCCGATCAATGCAAATACGTTGTGTTCGTAGATCAGCAACTGCGTGTTGGACAGCGCGGCATCCGGTTCGTATCCGTCGTCCAGCGATTCCAACTCCAACCTGCGACCGTGTACGCCGCCGGCTTGGTTCGCCTCGTGGAACGCCGCCTGTATCCCCAGCCGCATCCCCGTGCCCAATTGGCGAGCGGGGCCGCTGAAGGCGGCGGATTGCCCGAACAGGATGCGGTCGTTGAACACGCTTGGGACTGCCCGCCGGGGGCCTCTTGGACCGACGGGGTCTGCGCATCTTCGACGACGTTATCCGTCGCGGCTGGCTGAGTTGGCGAGCATGCAATCCCCGAGAGCTGTGCCGTCAATACGATCATCGCTCCGACGGCAATAGCTCGCAATCCCGATCTGCTGGTAAATTGTTGTCATTCCACCTGACTCCCTTACCCAGCAGAGAATACAACACCTAGCACACCTACTGCTCGATACTGTCGAAGAAGCACTGCGGAAGATTACGACGGCGAGCGACGACCGCTCGGGTCACAGCTCCGGCGGTCGCCTTTCGTGCCACGGCGTGGCCTGCTCGTAGGCGTAGGCTGCCTGGAAAATCTTGGCCTCGCCCAGGTGCGGCCCACCGATCTGCAGCGCCAGGGGCAACGCCCCCGCTCCATCGCTGGTGAACCCGCACGGAATGCTCAACGCCGGACAGCCGCTCAGACTGTACAGGCCGCGGAAGCTGCCCTCGCGCAGCGCGGCCGCAGCCATCTCCTTGTTGTCGATCACCGCCGGCTCGTCGGCCAGCAACCCCGCCGGTCCGGTCGACGTGGGCTGTATCAGCAGGTCGACGTTGCGGAAAGCCTCGATCACCTGCCGACGCACCAACGCCCGCAGTTTCAGCGCCTTGTAGTACACCTGCCCCGGTATCAGGTTGCCCACCGCGAAGGCCACCCGGGTGTTCGGGTGGTAGTCCTCGAACCGCTCCCGCAGCCATTCCGGATTCAGGCTCACCCGCTCAGTGCTGGTGATGGTGCGCACGATTGGCCCGGTGACGGCAGCCATGGGCAGGCTCACCGGCACTACCTCGGCGCCCAGTTCCCGGAATACCTCGGCGGCGGCCGCGACCGCGTCCCGGCTCTGCTCGTTGAGCGACAGGCCGTGCCCGCCCATCAACTCCTGAACCACGCCGATGCGCATCCCGCGCACGCCGCCATCCAGCCCGTCCAGGTAGTCGGGCGCCGGTTCGGTGCGGCTGTACCGATCCTTGGGGTCATGGCCGGCGATGACGCCCAGCGTCAGCGCGCAGTCGGTTACCGTGCGTGAAATGGGTCCGATGGTGTCCGTCGACCAACTGGCGCCGTCGACCCCCGCGCGACTCACGCGCCCCCACGTCGGGCGGATGCCTACGAGGCCGCAGTTCGCCGCCGGTCCGCGTATGGAACCGCCGGTATCCTCTCCCAGCGAGGTGGCGCAGAGGAATCCCGCCGTGGCGGAACCGCTGCCCGTGCTCGACGTCCCGGGGTTCCGGTTGGTGTCCCACGGGTTGCGCGCCGGCCCGAACCAGCTGCTGATCGGGTCCCCCATGGCGAACTCGCTCATGTTGGTCTTGCCGATGATCACCGCGCCGGCGGCCTTGAGCTTCGCCACCACGGTGGCGTCCGTATCCGGCACGAAGTCGGCGCGGATCTTGGAGCCGTCGGTGGTTCGCGTTCCCGCGGCGTAGACCTGGTCCTTCACCCCCACGGGGACACCGTGCAGCGGTCCGCGGAAGTTGCCGGCGGAGGCATCAGCGTCCAGCCGTTCCGCGTCGGCGCGGGCTTCGTCAGTCATCACCGTGATATAGGCGTTCAGCTTGTCGCCCACAGCGTCGATGCGGGCCAGGTAGGCGTCCACCGCTTCTATGGCCGACACCTCGCGCGCACGGATGGCGGCGGCCAGTTCGGATGCGGGCAGGAACGGGATTTCGGCGGGCGTCATTCTGCCACCTCCATGTCTGCCGGCTGAGTCACGGCGACATACTCCTCCAGGTTAAACCCCGGTGGGTTGATGGCGGCCATCTCCCCCAGCATCGCGTTCAGGCTGTGCGTGACCTGGCTCAGCTCCGGCTCGCTCAAATTGAGCCTCACCGCTTTGGCCAGGGCTTGAATTTCGTCGTTGTTCAAATCGCTCATACCGTCACCACCGTCACTGTGTTGGGTCTACAACTTCGATAAATGGGAACCGTCGGAAATCGCTATCCATGGTGCAGATCTGTTTGATACCGTGCTCCCGCATCAACACGGCGGTATGCATGTCGTGAACCACATTACCGCGGATGCCGGGCACTTCACTGGAAACTTGGATCAGCGTGCCCAAGTGGTTTTCCGTAGGCAGCAGCAAACCGAAACTTGGCGACGCCATTAACATCGCCAGAAAACGAGATCCATCCTCCACGTTCCACGCGTTGGGATATACCCGGGGATGGGTGATTACCCGCAGAAACTCATAGCAGACGTTCCATGTCAAGAAGACAGCGGATGAGCCCGTCCCAGCTTCTATGATGCGTTGTCGGCAAGGGATATGGAACTCTGAATCCGTCCGAGCGGCATGGACGACCACGTTAGTATCGAAAACCATCGTCCTCGTCCATCACCCGATAGAGTTCCTCTTTGTTGGTAATATCGACCAATTCCCCACCGCTGTTCCACTTGGGTAGCCTTTCAAACAACTCCTCGGCAGTTTGTGGGGCCGGCCCTCCGAAATATTCCTCCATCACACGGCGGAATTCCTGCTTCTCGGGAGTGTCAACCAGGTTGGTGCGTCGCGGCACATTCGACAATGTATCGCGGTTCTCGTCCGCGACCGGACCCTCCCCGAGGATTTCGCGAATGCCCGCCTCGGCCAGCGCCGACGCCGTGGTCCCGCGACGTTTCGCCTCCGCCTGCAGCCGCTCAGCGATGGTTTCGTCGAGATTCAGTGTTATCTGCATCGTGTCAAACCCCACGGTAAAGCTTCTTTCAGGTTACACCGTCTGCCCCGTGAAACGCCAACTCTCCAGCAGCGCTGCCGGCACGTGCATCGCAACGCCGGCCTCGTTCAGGTTCAGGTGCGACGTGTCGGACAGGGCTTGGCAGCCGGCCAACGCTTCCACGTAGCTCTGCGTGAAGCGCAGGTTCTTTACCGGCGTGGTGAGTTCGCCGTTCTCGATCAGGAAGGTGCCGTCCCGCGTCATGCCGGTCATCACGCAGCCACGGCTGTGGGACAGGCGGGTGTAGTAGAAGCGGGTGATGTACAGCCCCCGGTCCACCGACCCGATCAGCTCCTCCGTGGTGCGGTCGCCGGGCCGCATGAACAGGTTTGTCGCGGTCGGCCCGCCCGTGGCGCCCCGTTGGTGTCCCGTGGAGGCCGCACCGACTTTGGCGGCGGTGTAGGTGTTGTGTACTGGCCCTCGCACGACACCGCCCGTCACGACGTCCACCCGCTCCCGGGGCACACCTTCTGCGTCGAACGGCACCGGCCACCCGGCCGGATCCAGTCCGTCGTCTCTAATGGACACCAACGGACTCATCACCGCCTGCCCTTGCAGGTCGGTCATCCAGCTCCGCCCGTCCTGCACCATCTGCGCGCCCATGCCGTAGAAGCTGAGGGCTTCCAGCATGTCGCCCACCGCGTAGTTCTCCAGCACAACCGGATACTCCCCCGGTTCCAGGTCCTGCGGGTTACGACCGCGTATCGCCTTGCCGATGGCCTCGTCCGCCAGCGCTTCGCCGTCGATTGCGTCCATGCGCCAGCCGCCGCCCTTGGCCCACCCCGCCGAGTCGTCGCTGCGGGCGGTGACGAGCAGGCCGGAGAATGAGCCGACGTGGTACGCGTCGGAGCCGAGCGTGCTGACCACCGCCAGTTCGGTGGCGCCGGTGCGGAAGAAGCCGGCGGCGTCCAGCGACAGGTCGCCGGCCCTGTGACAGACCATTCCGGCCATGCCCGCGCGATGCTCGGCATCGCAAACGGCCGTGGCTTCGTCGTAGGCCATCGCCGATTGCGCCGTCGACGGTTCCGCCAGGCCGGGAAAGTCGGGGTCTTCGGGCATGAGCCGGGCGTACTCGGCAGCCTGGCGAACGGCGTCGGCGAGGCCCGACTCCGACAGGTTGTTGGTGACCGCGCGGCCCTGGCGTTTGCCCACCGCGACCCGGACATGCGCGATCGCGTCCTGGTGCGCCACGTTCTGGTGGATGCGGTTGTTGGCGAACCGGGTCAGCGCCTGCTCGGTGGCGGTCAGGTAGATGTCGCCATCCGCGTCAGCCGGGCAGTGGCGCAGCGCCTCCCGCAGCAGGGATCGTATCCGTTCCTGTCCCAGCATCGCGGCGCGCCCTGGCCTCAGCGCATCACGCCGACGCGGACGTTGCGGAACCGGGAAGGACTCGCCCCGTGGCTGGTGTGCGCGATCTGACCGGGCTGACCTTTCCCGCAGCGAGGAGTGCCCCAGAGCTGCCAGTGCTGGGGTCCGCACACCGCGTCGCAATTGCGCCAGAACTCCGGCGTGATCCCGGTGTAGGTGCAGTTGCGCAGCAATCGGCCCAGCTTGCCGTTCTTGATCTCCCGGCCGACCTCGGTGCCAAACTGGAAGTTGTACCGGCGGTCGTCAATCGACCACGAGCGGTTGGTTTCGAGATATATCCCGTCGTCGGTATCGGCGATCAGGTCCTCCAGCGTCCACTCCCCCGGCTCCAGGCTGACATTGGTCATCCGGATGAGGGGGATGCGGTTCCACGAGGACGCCCGCATGCATCCGTTGGATGGCAGACCCAGCCGGGTCGCCGACTCCCTGGACATTAGGTAGCCGACAAATTGCCCGTCGCGGATGATGTCCGTGGCCTGCGCCGGCAGTCCCTCGTCGTCCCAACCGAAGGTGCCCAAGCCGGTTACGCTCGTGCTGTCGGCGGTGATGTTGACCTGCTCCGACCCGTACCGGAAGTCGTGCAACAGGTCGGGCGTCAGGAACGACGTTCCCGCAAAGGCGGCTTCGTCGCCCAGCGCCCGGTCCAGCTCCACCGCATGGCCGCAGGACTCGTGGATCTGCAACGCCAACTGGCTGCTGTCGATGATCAGGTCAGTGTTGATGTTCGAGGGACACGGCTCGGCGGTGAGCAGTTCGGCGGCCTCCTCGGCGGTGCGCCGCGCGTTGCCGGGCAGGTCCATCGCGACGACGTACTCCCACCCGGCGCATCCCTGCTGCCGCCCGTGCGACTGCGGATACGAGCGGCGTTGGGTCTCGCCATTGCCCACGGCGGTTGCCTGCACTCCCCCGCCGGCCTCGTAGATGGTCTGGGTCACCAGCGCCCCCTCGGTGTTGGCGAAGGTGCGCTCCTCCTGGATGAAGACCACGTTGGCCATGCGCGCCGTGACTTGCGGTACCGCAGCCATCTCCCGGTCCGCTTCCAGCAGCAGGGCCAGCTTTTCGTCCAGCGGCACCGCGAAGGGATCGGTTCCGATCGGTGTCGTGTAGCTCCCCTGACTGGCCACCGCATCGCCAAGCAGTTGGGCGGAGGTCTGCCCAGACCCGTTTTGGCTGGCCGACGCGCGGGCAATCTGCACCGCTTGCCCCGCCGCTTGGTCGGCCGCCTCGCTGGTCAATTCCCGCGTCGACGCGAACCCCCAAGCCCCCTGATATACCGCGCGGACACCCAGACCCACCGATTCGTCGGCGGTCATGGTCTCCACCACGCCGTTCCGCACCACGATCCGCTGCTCCCGGTTGACCACCAACCGTATATCAGCATACTCCGCCCCCCGCTGCCGGGCGGTATCAAGAGCAGTTGCGATGATGGGGTCCATGTTACTTTCGGCTGCTTGTTGGGTGACCCGAGTAGGATTATTCAACTGCTTCCCAGTACACCCGAATCCCCATGGGGTTCATCCTGCGGTTGAACTTCTCGATAGTTTCCGATGTTCGTCCCGAGATTCGTTCAATCTCCAATTCGTTGAATTCTTGCACCTCTTCCGGAGATATTCTAGGAAGTGCGTGTCCCATCTGATCTTTACCCGTTATCCCCTTTTTTCCGGGCTTGAGTCGACCCATAGACCACATGCTGCCTATCTCTACCTCGTGGCTACCTCCGAGCTCAGCGCTAAATTCCCCCGTCAACATATTGTTGAATACAAAACTGTGTTCTTCGGTAGAAACCGGCCATGTGGTCTCCTCCCCGTCTGATCTGTAGTGCAGCATCAAAAACGTGACTTTTGGCAGTTGAGCCGATCTGCAGCCAGTGGCAACGACATACGAACAACGGAAACCCGTATATCTGGCCACCCCGATTGTTGTTGCATTCGTGATGCATCGGCTGACAATTCCAATCCTTGTTGTAGTCCTTCGGGTTGAAGCCGTCTTCTCTATCCCTGAAGTACGACCGAGTGAAAATGTGATCCACCGTAGCATCGGCCCGGTTGCGTATACCCTGTCCGCATCCACCGACATGCAGTCCGCAGACAAAGCCGTCTCTGGGAAGTAAACGGGTCAATTGTTTGCTCCTGTTCATACCATTTCTTCCGTTTCCATCAATGCCAGTGCGACATCCGCTACTGTGGGCAATTCTCCCATGCCTAAACAGGCAAAAACGGCTCGTCCGAAGCCGGGGGCAGCTGCTCAAACACGTTGATGTTGAATGCCAGCACCGAGTAGTACCCCATCAGGTTGGTCAACTCGATCAGACCTCGGTCGCCGAACTCCGCACACGGGCAGCATCGAACGTCGCCTGCGATACCCGCCGCGTGCGGAAAAACTCGCGGCCGTAGTTGATGACCGCCGATTCAGCGGACGACAACGGGGGCAATTCCTGCTTGTCACGCAAGGTGTCCACCAGCGCATCGCTCAGCCCCGCCCGCCGTCCGGCCGCGGCGTGGGCGTGCCAGATGAATTGGCAGTCCAACTCCCGGGCGGTGGTTATCATGGCGAGCTCCGCCACGTTGTCTGGCAGAGTCGAGCCCTCCGCCCGGAGATAGGCCCGCAGTACCTCGCCGCGCTGGGCGATCTCAGGCACGTGGAGCTGCACGGCGATGGGCCCGAACTCAGGCACCTCTCCGCCGCGTGCGGATACGATAGCGTCAAAAGCGGCAACTTGTTCCGGTGGCACGGCATCCCGGGACGCGATGGGGAAACGAGGCATGGTGTATTCTCCTGTCAGGTGCGAACTGGTGGTTTGGGCACTTACGCTGCGGATGTTTCGTAACGAGCTAACTCGTCAAATCGCGTGATGTTTTCTCTGAAATAGAGGCGCGAGCTGCCAATCGGACCTTGCCGGTTCTTGGCAACGATCAGCTCGACAACGTTGCGTGGATATGGTCGGCCGGTGGCGTGATGTTTCCACTCTTCCTCAGAGAAGACCATATCTTCTCGATACAGCAAAACAACCACGTCTGCGGATTCTTCGATTTCACCACTGTCACGAAGATCGTCCAGTTGTGGTCGTTGATGGATGCGGTTCTCGACGGCACGGCTTAGCTGCGAGCAAGCAAGCACGGGTAATCGTAACTCCCTCGCTATAACTTTGAGCATGCGGGCGACATCGCCGGTTTCCTGTGATCGTGTAGATCCTGCACCACGTAGAGACTGCAAGTCGTCCACCAGCAAGAAATTCAGTCCATACGCGTATTGCAAGCGCTGCACCTTAGACCACATTTCGTGTACAGATTGATACGGCGTGTCGTCAATAAATATGGGCATTTTGGAGAGGACACCAACAACGTCGGTAACATCATGCTGCTCTTGTTGAGTTAATAGACCCCAACCGCAATCGGTGAGCGTCGACGCTCGATTCGGCCGTCAACATGCGCATAGCCACCTGCTCACGGCTCATAATCGGGCTGACGATTCCGCATGTATATCCACTTTTGGCGACGTTGGTGCCGATGTTCAATGCGAGGCTACTCTTGCCTACTCCCGGCCTTGAGCCCAACACCAACATGTCGCCTGGTTCCAATGGACCGATTGACCCCTCCCATTCGGTGTAACCGCTTGGCACTAGTGCGAAGTCTAGTAGCGAGCTAGCCGACGGCGAATCGTGCCGCCATACATCCAGCACCTCACTCAACGGCACGAAACCAAATTCGCTTTCCTTCATATCACTCTGTTCCTAGCGTCCGTATATTGGGTATTTGGCAACTTACTGGCAGTGCGGAATAACTTCCTCGCCTAAGAGTTGGATCGCGTCCATGATGCGCTCGTGGGGCGGGCCGCCGGAATGGGCATGGCGCAGCCGGAGCAGGAAGTAGTCGGCGCCGGTGGCCTCCTTCCAGCGGTGGAACTCGTCCACCACCTCCTGGGGTTCGCCCAGGATCAGACGGTCGGTGCCGAGGTTGTCGATGTTGATCTGCGATTCCTCGGTGTACTGCCGGAACTCGTTGAGGCCATTGCGCCAGTAGTACTTGTAGGCGTCCATCACCTCCGGCCCATAGACCCGTTCGGCCTCGGCGCGGGTCGGTGCGACCCAGGCGTCGCGCATCAGGCAGAGCACCGGCTCCTTTCCCGCATCTTCCGCGGCGCGCTGGTATGCGTTTGCCAGTGCGATGGTGTTTTCCAGATCAGTGCTAGGGCCCGCCACAAAGCCGTCGGCGATCCGTCCGGCCCGCCTGGCTCCCGGTGTCCTGCTCGCCCCGATCCACAGCGGCGGCGCCGGTTCGGAGTAAGGTTTGGGCGTGATGGTGAGGTCGTCGAGGTTGAAATGCTCGCCGGAGAAGGAGAACCGCTCGCCGCTCCAGCATTGCCGGATGATCTCGATCTCCTCCTCGAAGCGGCTCACCCGTTGCTCAATGGCGATGTCGAAGGTGCGGAAGTCCACCGGCTGGTAACCGAGCCCCACGCCCAGGATGAACCGCCCCCGCGACACGATGTCCAGCGTAATCACGTCCTCCGCCAGCCGCACCGGATGATGCAGCGGCAGCAGTATGACCGAGGTGCCCAGGTTCAGCGTCGTGGTCTGGGCGGCAACAGCGGCGGAGACGATGAGCGGGGAAGGTAGGAACCCGTCCCGGTCCTGGTGGTGCTCGCCGAAAAAGCAGGAGTCGAAACCCGCCCTCTCCGCCAGCTTCGCCTCTGCGACTACCTCATCCACCCGCAAGGCCAGGTTCTCCCCGGCCGGCGGGTCGGCAATCGAACTGTAGATACCAAATTTCATGTGCAACTCTCTACAAATGCCTGCCTGGTTGGCGTTATTGCCGTTCTCGCCCGTTCTGACCGATGGCTTCGGTGAGCCGGTTCAGCGCTTCCAAAAACGCCTGCCGTTCCACGGCCGCTTGCCGGCGTTCTTCGGCGGCCATTGCATCGGCCTCGCGGCGTGCCTCGGCTTCCTGCTGTCGCAGTTCGGTCTCCTGCCGGCGCTGTTCGGCTTCCTCCCGGCGCTGTTCGACTTCCTGCCGGCGCTGTTCGATCGCTTCGTCGAGGAAGGTCTTCATGATGTCCATCATCTGATTGTTGCGGTGCCGCTCGCGCAAGAAAAGCATCAGATCAGAACCTCCGATGATGGTAATGGCAATGCTGGCATGGATGACGCAGTGGTGCAGGATAGATGTTGAGATGTACCTTGCCATCACGCTCGGATGGCACTTCAACTCGACCGCATTCTCCAAAGTGCAGGGCAAAGCGGTGTAGTACCACACCAGCCATGTAGCCGCTGTTGCCAGCGTTCCGGCCAGCGCCGGAGCCCACAGCGCGGTGAGGATCGTCTTGCCGTCTGGCAGCATTATAACCCCGCCAGAACCGCGATCGTCACTTGAAGTGCGTCAGCACACGGCTGGAGAACAGCTCCATCTGGCGGAAGTAGTCGTCGGCCTCGCCGGCCAGGAACCCGAACACGAAATCGCGCACGCCCGCGTCAATCCGTTCCTGCACCGCCCCGATGCAGTCCTCGGCGTTGCCGGTGATGCACAGCGCCCGGGCGATGTCCTCCGCGCTGCGTTCGGGTGTGACGTAACGCTGGCCGACGTGGGCGACGGCCGTTTCAAGGGCCTGGTCCGGATCTTCGTTGATGGCGGTCGGCTGGTTCACCCCCAGTGGAACCGGCTCAGGTCGCGGCCCGACTGCTCGGCCATGTCGCGCACGCTGGCGTTGGAGCGGCGGAGACGGTTGACGGTGAACAGGTACGGATACCACCCGTCGCCGGCGATGGCCGCCCGCCTGACCGCCGCGTCGCTCCGTCCGGCCACCCAGATCGGCGGGTAGGGCTGCTGGAAAGGCTTGGGCAGCAACGTCACGTCGTCGTAGTTGAAGAACCGCCCGTGGTGGGAGACGTGGTCCTCCTGCCACAACTGCTTCATCGCCCGCAGTATCTCGTCGGTGCGCCGCCCGCGCGTGTTGACGGGAATCTCCAGCGCGTCGAACTCCGCGCGCGTGTCCCGTTGACCGCTGATGCCAATCCCGAAATCCAGCCGTCCGCCCGAAATCTGGTCAACCGTTGCCACCAGTTTGGCCAGCATCACCGGATGGTATAGCGGCGCGATCACGATGCCCGTGAGCACCCGCAGCCGCGTGGTCGCTCCCGCCGCCGCCGCCATGGCCGGCAATCCCATCGCCGTGGGACGCGGCGGGTTGCCGTCCATCACGTGCTCCCCAATTGCCACCCGGTCAAACCCCAGGTCCTCGGCACGCTTGGCGAACTCGGGCAGGTCCCAGAAGTTGTCCACGCTCAGGTTGCAGCCGAAAGTGATCGTGTTGTCTGCCATTCCATTTCCCCCGTGCCGGCCTACTGTGCCAGCATCTCGTCGGTGATTTCCGCAAGTTTGTCGCCGTTCAGGACACCCTGCCACTTGCGATGCAGGCTGCCGTCCGCGGCGATGAAGAAGGTCGCGGGCAGTCCCAACACCTCTAACTCACGCACCACGTTCGCGTCGCCCGTCGCCCCGGCCGGATAGGTTACCCCCAATTCGTTGAGGAGGGTGACGGCGTCCTCCTCGCTACCTAGGGCAAAAAACTGCCCCAGGTCCACGCCGAGCACCAGCGCCCGCCCCTCGTACTCGTCGGCAAAGGCCTGGAATTCCGGCATCTCCGCCCGACAGGGCGGACACAGGCCGGCCCAGAAGTTCAGCACCACCGGCTGGCCCTGCAGGTCGGAAACCGCCACCGTCTCCGACCCCAGCACGTCGCTGCCCTGGTAGAGCGCAATATCGAAATCGTAGATGCTGTCGACGGGTTCGGTCGGCTGGGTTCCGCTTTCCGACGCGCTGCCGGAGCAGGCCACGGCCAGCAGCATTATCCCCAGGGCGAGAATCGAGATTTTCAAGGTTTTCATCGTTCGTATGCTCCTCTCGGAGAATTCCTTTCAATTTATATGTACTGACGAGGTTAGCACAGCCACTTTGCCTTGTTAAGTGTGGTTCTCTCGGTTATCATCTGCCCCTCCCGGCTTCGGCCCCGCATTGGTAACTTATGCCCTCTCTACCACAACTGTCGCCCACCGCTTCCCGTCGGCTCCGTTTGCTGGCCGCGCTGGCAGTGGCCGTGTTGGCCCTGGTCGTGATCTGGAAACTGCTGGCCGTCCTCTTGCCTTTCTTGCTTAGCGGCGCGGTGGCGTACCTGCTGGTTCCCATCGTCAATTTGGTGGAACGACGCACCGCCTGGGGCCGCCGTTGGCCCAATGTCACCAGAATGCTGACCTCCGGACTGGTCCTCCTGGTCGTGACCCTGGCGGTTCTGATTGTCGTGGGGTTGGGCTTGTTCAGGATAATCGACCGGTCGGCGGCCCTGGTGGAACGCGCGCCCGACCTGGTGCAAGATGCGGAACAGCTTTACCGCCAGGCGATTGTCGAATACCAGACCCGGGTGCCGTCGAACATACGAGAGATGATCGACCCCCGCCTGGAGGAACTGCGCCAGGCGTTGATTGATGGTCTGAACGAGGCGCTGCTTCGCCTGTTCCGTATCCTGCAGACTGGTGTCGGCCTCGCCGTGTCGCTGGCGACGGTTCCCATCATCCTCTTCTACCTGCTATACGATCCGGCCGGTATCGGCCGCGGGGTACGCCAACTCCTTCCGCGATCAATACGCGATGACCTTGCGGAAATCGGCCGTCTATCCGGGGAGTCCATCGGCGTGTACATGCGCGTGCAATTGCTGCTGGGCGCCATGATCGGGGTGGTCACCGGTCTCGCCCTGTGGGGCATGGGTGTCTCCCAGGCGCCGATACTGGCGATCGTGGCGTTCGGCGGAGAGCTCGTTCCTATCGTCGGGCCGACCGTCTCGCTGGTCATCGCCGCCGTCGTCATGCTCCTCACCGACTGGACCAAGGCTCCGTTGGTCATCGCCCTGTATCTGGTCCTGCAAGCCTTGCAGAACACCCTCATCGCACCGAGGATGCAGGGGCAGGCACTTGGCCTGCACCCGCTGGCGGTGATCCTCGCGCTGGCGATATTCGGGCTGTTCCTCGGTTTCTGGGGGGTCCTGGTTGCCGCCCCGTTCGCCGCCGCCGGCTATCGCGTCCTGAGGTACGTCGTCCGGGAGTGGGACGCGGCTGCATTGTCGGGAGGTTCCACGGGCGCTGATGGACCCGCTGGGGAGGTCGAGCAACCAACAGCCCCAGTGGCTGAATAGCGCCTTCCTTCGCCCTGGTGTACAATCGGCCAAATTGCCGCCGTTTGTCCTGCCGCCGCGAGGGGGATTTGAGATGCGTATCCTGCTGATTGCCACCAACCGTCACAACCGGGTCATGAGCCGGATGCGAGCGCAACCCATCCCCATCGGCCTGGCCTACGTCGCCGGCCATTTGGACCGCTCACGACACGATGTGAAGCTGGTCGACCTGATGTTCTCCGACGACAACTACCTCGACGAAGTCGAGCGCACGGTGTTGGACTACAAACCGGAGTTGGTGGGGATCTCGATCCGCAACCTCAGCAATCACAGTTACGTCGACCCGCAGTGGCAGTTGCCCATCACCAGGAGCGTCATCGAACGCATCCGGTCGATTTCCAATGCCACCATAGTCTGCGGCGGGCCGGCTTTCAGCATCATGCCGCAGCAGGTCTTCGACTTTGTGCAGCCCGACCTCGGCATCGCCGGCGACGCCGGTGAGACCTTCGCCGATCTGGCAAACCGGGTCGAAATCGGCGAGCCCGACTACCGAGGCATGACCGGCGTCCTCTACCGTGAAAACGGCGAGATCGTGTACAACGGTATGCGCTGTTCGTCGGATTTCGGCAGCCGTCCCAGCCTCGATGACCTGGATATGCCCAAATACGCGCAGGCCGGTTTTGGCGTCAGTGTGCTCACCAAGTTGGGCGGGTTTTACTATCCCACCTCCGCCGACGACATGCGCACTCCCGAGGGCGCCTGGCGGGTGATCCGACCCATCGACGAGGTGGTCGAGGAAGTGTCCGAGATCACCGGCCGCTACGGATTGAAGAAGATATTCTTCGTCGATAACTGCTTCAACGTGCCCCTGGAGCACGCCAAGGAACTCTGCAACGCGCTGATGGAATCCGACGTCAAGGTGCGCTGGAACACCTGTCTGGCTCCCTACGCCTGCGACGCCGAACTCATCGGCATGATGAAGCAGGCCGGCTGCGGCCTCGTCATGATGGGCGGCACCCGCGGTGGTGACCCTCACGAGGGCGACAACGACACGTCGCGCTACGCCACTCTGAAGGAGACCACCGAACTGTGCGAGGCCGGCGACCTCCACTACACCATCAGCCAGCAGTTCGGCGAGCCCGGCGAGACCCGCGAGTCGGTGGAGAACAAGCTGGAGTTCCTGCGCGGGCTGAAGCCTTCGCTGGCCAACCTCCGCGTCGGCGTCAGCGTCATGCCCGGCACTGACGTGGCCGCTCGCTGCATCGAGGAAGGCATCATCAAGGACGAGACCGAGCTCATCGCTCCCACGTTCTACATGGCCGAGGAGGTTCGCCCCTGGCTGGTAGATTACCTCCGCGAACTGGTGGACGCCAACCCCCGCTGGGGCCTGATGTAGCAATCGCACGATTTAGTCCCAACTCCGGTTAGGTTCAGAGGATTACCACGATGACTTTGACTGGCAACCCGCAACTGGGCGCGGCCCGCATCGCGCTGGCCGATGGCGAATCGATCCGCGCCGCCCATCTGCTCCGCCGCGCCGGTTTCACGCCCACGCGCGCTGAAATCGACCGCGCCGTGGAGCGTGGATACGAGGCCACCGTCGACGAGTTGCTGCATCCCGAGGACCGGCCCGACCTGGAAATCGAGGACCTCATCCGCCGATACCACGTCGACCAGAACAGCCTCATGCTGCTGGAGAGTAGCCAGGGCTACTGGATGTACCGCATCATCAATTCCCAGCGCCCGCTGGAAGAGAAGATCGCCCTGTTCTGGCACGGCCTCTTCGCCACCGCCTACGGCAAGCTCAACCACGCCAAGGCGGTGGTCAACCAGACCCACACCTTCCGTCGTCACGGGCTGGGCAAGTTCGCCGACATCCTCGTCGAGCTGTCCCGTGACCCCGCCATGATCTTCTGGCTGGATAATAAGGACAACCATCGCGACGCTCCCAACGAGAACTACGGCCGCGAGTTGCTGGAGCTGTTCTCCATGGGCATCGGCAACTACACCGAGGCGGACGTGAAATCCGCCGCCCGCGCCTTCACCGGCTGGACCATCGACAATACCGAGTACATGAGCATCCGCGCCAGCCGCGACTCCTTCTGGCCCTACGGTCGTATCGACTGGCAGTTCCGCTACCGCGAGGATGACCACGACGACACCGAGAAGACCTTCCTGGGCCACACCGGGACCCTGGGTGGGCAGGACGTCATCGACATCATCGTGCGGCAGCCGGCCACCGCCCACTACATCTGCGGCAAGCTCTACAACTTCTTCGTGTCCGACCGGCCCGACGAGGAAGCCATCGGGATACTGGCCGACGAGTTCATCCGCACCGAGGGCGACATCCGCGCCGTCATGCGCCGCATGTTCCTGTCCGATTTCTTCTCCGACGAAGTGGTCCGCCTGGGTCGCGTCAAGAGTCCGGCCGAGTTGGTCGGCGGCACCGCACGATTGGCCGGCAGCCACCGCAGCCCCGAGTGGACCATCACCAACCTGGCCATGGACGTGAACTTCATGGGTCAGGAGATACTGAACCCTCCCACCGTGGAGGGCTGGCACACCGGCATGGAGTGGATCGACACCGGCAATCTGGTCGAGCGCATCAACGCCGCCGGTGCCGAGATGCGGGACACCGGCCGGCCCGGCGTCCGCGCCATCATCGAACGGGTGAAGTCCGCCGGCAACGTGCTCGAGCCGCGCCAACTGGCGGAGGCCTGCCTCGACGCGGTGGGCATGTTCGAGGTATCCGATGGCACCATGGGCAGCCTGGTGGCCCTGGCCGCTCCGTGGGGAGAGGTGCGTTTCGACCGCGCCGACGGCGTCGCCTGCGCCGAAGAGCGCGTCGTCGAGATGCTACAGCTCATCGTCGCGTCCCGGGAGTACCAGCTGGCATGACCA